GTTGAAGATTTTTTTTAAAAACATGTTTAATAAAGAGCATTTCCATACTTCATATAAAGCCATGCGTGACTTTTTTCCAGACGAACGATCCCGGAGCGGTTACAATAATCCACCCTGGCAACTGTGACCCTCACGTCACTGTGGATGTGATTTACACACCGTGAACTCAGATAATATGATTCATTAGACGCCTCTGCTGGTTTGATTCCAGATTTTCTCTGTCATTCATTAGCGAAGCGGACGTTGATGCAGGGAGGAGCGTTCGGTCAGAACAAGGTGATGACATGACGAAACTGTTACTTGATGCTTCATTACATGATTTAAAACTAATTATTCTGATATTTCTATGTGTCATTGTTGTGTTTTTGTGGTTTAAATGTCATGTTGGATGGCTGCAGTGTGCCTTTTTCATGATGCCCTTGAATGCAGCACAATTTCCATTGATTTTAAGCCATAAATGAGCCGAAAGGTTTTCAGCATCCAACAGAGATCTGCAGTAAGATGGAGTCAGAAGGAAACTTTGGGGGAGAAAACAATCAACCTTGGAAATGTGATAAAGAAAGGAGCTGATGAAACAAAAGAGACGACTCCCTGCAGCTTTCATTGGCTCCTTTCTTCTATCTATTTCAAGATTTTCATTGTGTCTTTAGTAACTCTGCCAAATGACTTTTAAACAACCTCTGAGCTTCCTTTAGGACTTCGGGGCTCCAGGAGCTCCAGCTAGCTCTGATTCTGAAAGTTTTAACTTGGAGCTCTTTCTGTTTTACATTTTGCTGCAGTATATGAGGTGACACCGTAGGGATGCCAGTGCTCTGAGAAAAAAATGATATTCCAGGTGGCTACCTTCAATGCAGTCTATAATACAAACCAACATATACAGCAAACATCCATAGAGAATCAGAGGTTTTAACTGTTTGATGCTCTTCGGCCTACAGATGTAGGTAGACATTAAAGTAATTGAGAAACCATGTCTTTTGACTTATCTCAAAGGAAAATTAAATGTGGTCATTACTCGTATCATCCAAGTAACTAATCCACTTCATTTGCTTTTGCTATTCCTCCACATCTTTGGCTGTACGGTTGGAGAGAGATGTTGGAGTCGGGGAAATTAATCTAAAACATTCAAAACTAAAACACTCTACAGATCGATGGCAACTGTTCCAGCTCCTGACTCGCCACCGGGGGGCGTATGTCTGTCTGAGATGGTTTTATGGAAACATCAACCAAGCTGCACTGATGGAACCAATAGGAAAATTCAACTGCAGTAGCCAGTCTTCAACCCAAAGAGGGCAGCACTGAGACACTTTCAGAGCAAGTAGTGAACAAGTTTAAATGTGTCAGTTTGTACAGAAACATAAATACTTTTAATGGAGTTTCTTATATAACTGCACAATATTTATGGTTTAATTTTGCCCTTACTGTACATATTTTTCATTCTTTATTCTGCTTTTATAACTATTTTATGTTTCATCTTTGTGTGAGTCTGTTTGCTGTTATTGCCTCTCTGAAATGTTACCATTGTGGGACAACAAAGGATATTTCTCTATCTTCTATTTCTTCTCTACAGACTGCACCTTCAAAGACAAGTTTATACTTTATCTGCAACTTTATTATCTGCAAAATAAAGTTGATTTGGAGTTTAATTAGGAGAGCACATGTTAAATGTGCTCCTAACCCAGCCTGGGTTGGAAAGATTCAATGACAAAGCTTGTTTTCTCTGAAGCAACATGACAAAATAACCTGAGCTGAAATGTCCCAGTCAAAGTCTTAGACGTGTCTCCTTAAGAGAGCTGAACCAACCTTAATGACGTTGCTCTTATTTCCTTCAGACCCATTAAAACATGAAGTCCCACCTTAGAGACGCCCTGATGTATGGAGAAGCAATGAGCTGATTAATTCGTCCTCTGACCGATCGGCTCCCAGCTGAGGAACATGAGCACCACCTCTTCGTGGAGCTGAGCCTCCTCCCGGTGATTTATCACCACGGCACTGAACTCTGGGTCTGGTGGCTCTGCTGCACCAGACCCAGACCCAGACCCAGACCCAGACCCAGACCCAGACCCAGACCCAGACCCAGACCCAGACCCAGACCCAGACCCAGACCCAGACCCAGACCCAGACCCAGACCCAGAACCAGACCCAGACCCAGACCCAGACCCAGACCCAGACCCAGAACCAGACCCAGACCCAGACCCAGACCCAGACCCAGACCCAGACCCAGACCCAGACCCAGACCCAGACCCAGACCCAGACTCAGACCCAGACCCAGACCCAGACCCAGACCCAGACCCAGACCCAGACCCAGACCCAGACCCAGACCCAGACTCAGACCCAGACCCAGTGTTTGTTCTGCTGCAGCATCACAAACACCAGAACAACAGCAGCTCCCCTGAAACCTGCTTCACTCTCATTCACTGTTTCTTTTAAGCCTGCCATTTTTCTCCTCATCATATCTCACATCTGCAATTATTCTTATTATATTATCCCGCTGTTTATAACGCGTCCTGAATGATGGACCTGAGCAAACCAATCTGTCTTTCTGACACAATATCTTTAATGCTAACAGATTATAGTGCAACCTTATTATTACATTTCATGTGATGAATGCAGATTTATTTTTTTCAGTTCAGTCAGAACAAACAGTTCTTTTCACTTACAGCAGAGATCTTCTGTAAAATGCCTGACACTGAACCTGAGAATGAAGTTTTGTTTCTTATTTCTGCTCTGAGCTTCTGCAGATCCTCCCTGAACGTTCAGGGCCGACTGGAAGCCCACAGAAAACAGAAGTGTTCAGTTTGGCATTTAGATCAACTTCACTTATCTTTTTTGTTTGTTTGTTTGTTTTTGCTAAAATAAAATACATACAAACTAATACATTACATAAAATCATTACATTCATTCATGCATTATAGCTCTATATATTTTAATGATTCTGGCTTACATTTGACGAAAACAAAAAATCCAAATGTTACTATAATGTAAAATAAGGATTCTCTTAATGGTGTGCAATAAATATGCAATGTTTCTGTCAGACTTTTTCCTTCCACTCAACTTTGCATTGATATTGACAACACTTTAGTCAGCAGTGTTATGCATGTTTATGTTGAGCATCAAATGGTTAAAAGTTTTGAAATACAAAATTTTTGTATTTAAAAGCCAAGTTTTATCCAAGTTTTTAATTTATGTTAGACTTTGACGCCACTGATTTAGATTTTTATTTAAATGTACAATATAATAAAATCTCCCAGGAATGTATCAGATGTACTTAGACTAAAAAAACTAGTGAACTATGTGAGGAAGACGCAGCAGCTGCATGAAAATCAGTCTGCAGGTTGTGTTTCTTCCAGCTGCAGATTAAACTACAGGAGCAAAAGTTTCTAAATCACTGCTGAGTGAAAACAAACAGTTTCTGGTGTAAACTCGTCTCATCTGGAGAGAGACCAGAATCCGTCTGAGCAACAGAAGGAGGCGCTGCAGAAAACCAGGAGGATGAAAACCAACAGAGCCTGAACTGATTCTGATGACTTCATCATGCTGCTGAAATCCAGACCGGAAAACAAACGTCCTTCATTAATCTGATTAGCAACCTGTGAACGATCCCAGAACATTAAAACATAAAAAGCTGAGTCACTTGATCATCATCTGTCCTGTTCCATTCATTCATTCATTTCCTAAAACTCTGGTCCCTTTCGGGGTCGGGAGGCGCTGGTGCAGGATGCATCCTGGACAGGTTGTCAGTCTGTCACAGGGCCGTTTCATTCATTAAATTCAGCAAAACATAATAAACTAAAGTTTGAAATTCTTTTTCAATTTTTTTTGGTCAGCACAGATTGAAAGAGCAACAGATCAATGAAGGAAAACTCTGCAGGAGAACAAGGAAGGAGCTGCCGGAAAAGCACCAGATAATGGATTCAAGATGGATCCACCAGGAATTGCTGCTCCAAAAATAAACACAAACCTTTGAGAAATGTCTGTGAAGTAAAGAAGAAGAAGAAATGGTTCTGCGTGGCTGATTGGGTTTAAATTGAAGTTTGGAAGAGTCAAGGTGAGACTTTCAAACCTAAAAACAAGCATGGCGGAGGTAGCATCATGCTGTTGACTGTTTCACCACTGGTGGAACTGGTGCTGCACAATGCTACGGTGGCCCACAGGTGCCAACATGCAGCAAGCATCAAGATGTCAGGAAATCCTGGGGTTGTTTCCATCTGCAGGACGGCTTCAGAAAACGACAACACAAAGCATCCCGCAAACAACGTATAGACAATGAGGTGAAGGTTCCAAAGTGGCCCAGTCAAAGTCCAGACCTGTTCTCAGCTTATTCAAATCAACCTGACAGAGGTTTAACAGTTCAGCAGGAAGAATGAGCAGATGAGCCTGACTGAGAGCGACTGCAAATAAATGCTGACTTGGTAGAAATGAATATTTGTGCAATCACTGCTTTTGTCTTACATACTTTTATGTAATTGTTATTTTGAAGAAATCACTTTATTTTGATATTAAAAGTTTTTTTTTCAATGTTTTTGTGGGAGAAAGCCAGATTTTATTGTTGATGATTCGATAAAAGGGGTGAAAACTTTTACTGACTGTTCAGCTGCAGTTGGTTGATGGTTATAAAAATGTGTCTGATGTTAAACTAGAAACCAGCGATCAAGAGGAATGTAACTGGAGTTTTGTTTTTTTGATTTAAAAATAAATCAAAAACAAAAGGAACTAAAATCATGAAGGTTTGAATTTATTCTGGATTTATTTTTCTATCCAGACAGGATCAAATTATTCATTTAATCCAGACTGTAAACATAGCAATAATATTTTTTCAGTTCTTAATTAAAAGTTGATTCCATTATTTTCTATTTTTAGGGAAATTGCATGCAACCAAAGGGTCTCAAAGAGGGGAGAAAAATGTCATGTTTCTGTGGATTTTGTCTGTTCACCATCAGAACTCCTGCAGCTTTTCCCTCCAGCAGATAAAACTTGTTCCGGAGTTCACCGGGTTCTCCTACCTGTCCGCGCTGAGAACCGTGAGCGTGAACACCGACACGCCGACTGAGGTGAGCTGGATGGCGGGGATGAGCTTGCATGCCGCCTCGCCGAACACCCACTCCTCCGAGAAGTACCGGAACGCGTCCACGGGCACGCAGGTGACCAGCAGGAGCAGGTCGCCCGCGGCCAGGCTGGAGATGAAGATGTTGGGCACGCTGCGCATGGCGCTGTTGGTGATGAAGATCTTCACCAGCATGATGTTCCCCAGCAGACCCACGGTGATGATGAGGATGTAGACAGAGGTCATGACGCAGCGCACCACGAAATGCACCGTCTCCCCGCCGTCGGAGGCCCCCCACCAGCCGGGCTCCATGGTGGAGTTGGGGGTCAACGCCTCGGGGTCTCCGGGGGGACCCGGGGAGAGGTTGGAGAGGAACTCGTCATCCATGCTGGGGAGGACGGGATCTCCAGCTGCTGCGCGTAAAACCAGCGCGGTGGTGCAGCTGGATCAGCCTGAGAGCGGAGAGAAAAGTTTGAAGCAACACTTGATCTGAGGGCTGCAGGTCTGAGCCGCAGAGTGAGCAGCGGAGGGAGCAGAGCGCGTAAAGAGGAGCAGCGGCAGGAGGAGGAGGGAGAGGAGGGAGAGGAGGGAGAGGAGGATGCACCTGTTGGAGAGCAGCCTCCCTCTCTGCTGAGTGCGCGCGCTTCATTCAGCCCGTTTTCCACGATCGTCTCAATAAATCAGGAGAATCTCTGCTGTCATGATGGGAGCGAAAAAAGTGCCAAAACTAAATCAAATCACACAATCATTATTTGCTGCATGTTCCGCGTGTTTATACTGGAACCCAGCTGTCTGCTGTGTGTGTGTGTGTGTGTGTGTGTGTGTGTGTGTGTGTGTGTGTGTGTGTGTGTGTGTGTGTGTGTGTGTGTGTGTGTGTGTGTGTGTGTGTGTAGTTCACTTTCTTGGCCTGCTTCTTGCTGTTGTTCTATGAACGTTTCCAGGAATCGCGCAGCTGGAACATTTCAGTTGGAATCTGAATTCCTTCTTGAGGTTCCAGTGATAAAAACATGATCATTATTCTTCTGAAGTCATTTTATCCGAGCACTTTTATGACTGAAACAACTTTTTTTCCCCCTAACATTCTTGTGATGAATGTTACATAACAATGATAACCACACGGTTGGGTTTAATCGCTGCAGAGCCGTTAGAGATTCTCCCGTTGCTGGCATTTTTTTAAATGAATCTCAAAAACAAAAGATTAAAATGTTTCCCCCATTCTTTTAAAAATAAACCAAGTTCTGGTTTTCTTGTTTTGTTTTTTGTTTTGTTTTTTTCATTTTGAAAAAAAAATATTCGTGAAGATCAATTTTTAATTCTTTCCAGGCATTCTCGGTTGGATGTAGGTCTGGACTTTGACTAGGCCATTCTAACCCGTGAATCTGCTCTGATCTAAACCGTAGATGTTTAGATTGGTTGTCCTCCAGCTCAGCCTTGAAAAGGCTCCATCCATCTTTCTGTTCCAACTGCATGCTGCTGCCACCACTGTGTGACATCAAGATGTTCGGGTTTTTTTCTCCTCAAGGTTTTGTATTTTTAAAATTGTCGTTTTGGTTTTAAACATGGCCGCTGTGATTGTTGTTTTCTCTGGGTTCTAAAGCGGCTGCAGCTCAGAGGTGACAGAAATGGAGCCAGTAGGGGCAGCATTGAGTAAGTGAACCTGCTGCTGACTGTTTGGATCCAGACCTGTAGTAGACAGATTAGGTTTGATTCAGGTACAAAAGACTCTGCTGTGGTTCAGCAGTACCTTTTGTCTGCCCAGCTCCTTTGTTTGCGTCCTGCTCCATTTCTCCCTTTGGATTGTCTGATGGATCTTGAAGTGTGTCCTGCTTTTACATCACAGAAACAGATGTAAAAGCAGGAAAGTCTGTTTCCCTGAAGATGTGATTTTTCTGCTGCTGACTTTTATATTAATGTGGATGTTGGGATGTTTTTGTTGAATCTGGTACCTTTAGACATAAAAATGTGCAAATAGGCAATAGCTGTGATTTATTACGCCTTCATGCGTCTGTATGAAGAGCCTGTGTGTGTTTTCAAATTCAGCAGGTTCTCTGTCTGCAATAATTCACCGTGGGATTAAATGTGCAGCATGGTTTTTATCGCATGCATGTAGAAGAGAAGCTCTGAGCCATGACCAAGAATCTGTTTGGTGTTCAGAAATAATTCTCCAGCCTTATGACATCTGCAGGATTTGATCAGGAGAACTTGAGAACAGAGAAAATGTCTTTTATTTCTCACCTTCGTCCAAGTTTTCTTGGAGATGAAGGACTCCATCTGGGAGCTTTCTGTTTGCTGCTTTAATGAGACTTTAACCGACCGAGTGGGTCTGATTCTGTCACAGATGGTTAAAGTCAGAGGTGGGATGAGTTGGATCTCTGCTGAATGTTCTTACTGATTAAAGATCCAATCTGTCAGTTCAGGAAGCTTCAAGTGTGACACCCAAGAAGTTGCTTAAAGGGGCAGTAATACGTAAACTCAACTTTTTTGAGTTGTACATTGTCTTATAATGTGATTCCCTCATTGGTGTAGCATTGCACTGATTCTTTCTAGCATGTTTGAAAAATCCTTTAATCTCCATGGTAACCATACAGGTGTGCAAAACATCTGGTTGGACCTAGCCCCGCCTTCGAGGCGCAGCTCCTCCTCTGAGCTGCAGTTTGTAGGCTACCGAGTTTCTGCCTCACACAGCAGCGACTCCCACAGTTTTAGCTCTTGCTTCCTGCTTAAACAGAGCAGAACGACTCACTTTAGCAGCTGCAGAGTTCTGAGCCACTGTTTTATTTTGAAAGTCCTGCCAGGAAGTGGCTCTCCTCACCCCAGGTCACTTGACTGTGGCTTGTCTGACCTGTACTGTCCAACAGCTGGGATGAAACTGGGATCTGAGTTTGGGGAAACAGAGAGGGAATGAACAGCACGCCGCCAGGATTCCGGTTGGTGTGTGGACTAACTTCTTCTTCTGGTTCTGGTCTGGTTCTGGTCTGGTTCTGGTTCTTCTCTCTATCTCTGGAACCTCAGATGTGTGTGCAGTAGGTGTGTGCGTAAGAGCCTGTGTGTGTTTGACTGCTGATGCTGATGGACTCATGTTTCCACTTCAACAGAACCTCTGAAATAAAGTGCAGGAAGCTTTTAGTTTTTAGATCATTTATTAAAATCTGAACTTGTTTTCAGTGAGTGAAGCTCCAAATTAACAGAAATAAAGAATAAACCCATCAGTTGTTCCACCTAACCAGGTGTTTCCTCTGCATTGTGCTCCACAGGAGGGTTTTTTTGCTGACAGAGTCCAGTAGGGATTAAAACTGGGGCGGCCCAGGGCCCCCACCCCTGGCTCTTTGTTGGCCCCCTGGTCCCTGTTGTGTTTTTTCCACTGCGTGGGTCGGTATGTTTAGGGGGAGATAAAAGGCTACATGATTTCAGTAGAGAGAAAGAGAAGTGGACGAGTTCAGCTGCAGGTTTGTGGAGTCCTGGCCACGAGGGCCTGGAGCCACTCGGACTCACACAAGGGACGACAGAGAGCAAGTCATGTCTTTAAATTACATCAAGAACTTCTACGAAGGATGTGTGAGTAGATGAGACAGGAGCCATCAGTGTGTTGACATCATGTTTGCTGTTTTCTGGTAGATGGTAGTCGCATCAGAGCGGAGCAGCTGAAGAGATGAGAAATGTTTCCTCTGAATGGCTTTTTGTTTTCAGCTGTCAGAGCTCAGGGACTTTGATTATCTGGCAGACAAAAGCAGGTTCTCCTTCTTTCTAACAGCTGAGTAAAAATGCCGCAATGTTAATCAGACCATGATCCAAGTGCTTTTATCTGCAGCTCTCACCCAACTGCATGACTAAAACAGAAAAATATGTAACCAGGTACTAAAAGTTCGAAGTTATAGGACACATCCCCATAAACTCAGGTATCAAACACCATAGCAGCTGACTTCAAAAAGGTTTATAAGCCATTTTATCTAGTGAGGAGGAGAAATTCACGTTAATAATATGTAAGAATAGCAGTTTGGAGACCCAGCAAACCAGCACCCTCCAGAGGGACTTTGAAGCACACTTTGGTGTTCGCAGTCTGTCTATAAATCATCACAGTGAAATGTTATGTCATAAACACAAAATTTCAAGCTCATGTTAAAATTTCTGTTCTTGTTCTGACCGTCACTTTCACTATAACATGACAACATGCGTCAGGTTTAGCTTGTTATAGATGCCAAAACCTTATTCAAATTTCGTCACATTATGTTTTTTTTTGAATTTCTGCAAATGAATTCATCACATGGCGGATTAAAGTGAAGTTAAAGTTCAGACATAGAGTCAGATTACAGCTGGGTCAGATCTGATGTTGGTCATGTTTCCATCCAATTGTCGTTGGAATTTTGAGTTAACTTTTAAACTGTTACAAAAATGAAAAATGCTAATTATGCATTTTTCTATCTACTGTTTTGCAGTGAATCAATCGGGCTAGCCTAATTTTGACAATTGCTGACATGACACATGGCTGTAATAAACAGGATGTAGAAGTTGCAAGCTAGCATAAAGTGCACATCTAAGCAAAAAATGGAAAGTGTCCTCCCCATCGAGCCTGAGGCTTAAATTTAAAATTTTTCCGGAACTCATACCTCTGGTAAGGCAGAGAATAAATGTGTTTCCATTTCCCCTTTAGCGCATTAACTCTTTTTCTATAAAATCTAAAGAAAACACCTCAAGCAACCATAAAAAACGTTCTTAATTTTTGGGAAATTAAGAAAGTTATTTTGAGTTACTGAGAAAGAAAGTGATGCAACTTCCTTGAATTGTTGTGGTTTCACAGGCAGGTTTGTCAACTGAAGAGAGGTTATTGCTTGAAAGGTGATCTGTGCAAATCAGCAGATGTTTTGTATGCAAAATGGAAAAACTCACAGTGAAAGTAAATATTGTCTCATAAATGTATACTCAGCTTTGATCATCTTGATTGTTACGGATCACTCTTTAGTCTGTCAGAAACAGAGACTGAGTTGGCTGGTTGTGGATAAAGTAGTCATTTTAGTCACTTGCTAACTTTCATGGAGTTCATTTATTTTTCTTTCTTTCTGGGAAAGCAAGGCTCTCTTTTGGCAAGCTGAGTTGCAGAACACAAGCATTATTCCTGGAGGGAGATTACTCTACAACCCAGAGGAAACATATGGAAGATAATCTCTACAGTTTTGTAACCAGAACCTTGTAAAGAAAAAGAGAGAGAGAGAGTAACTGGTCCCTTCCCATTCAGACCAATCGTAATGCTTTCTCTGCCTCTCTGAGTGATCTTTGTGTGTCTGTCTATGATCGTGTTCCAGCTCAGGCCTCCTACTGTCATCGGCCAGTTCCACACGCTGTTCTTCGGCTCGGTTCGGATGTTCTTCCTGGGTGTTCTTGGCTTCGCGGTCTACGGGAATGAAGCTCTGCACTTCAGCTGCGACCCGGATCGACGAGAGCTCAACCTGTTCTGCTACAACCAGTTCAGACCCATAACACCTCAGGTGGGATCAAGTAACACTATGAGTCAGAACCAGAGGAAACATCTCAACACGAACCTCAAACACAGCATTGGTCTGATGTTTCAACTCACTCACCCAGTGCTTTCTGTTTATCGGTGTGTACATATTTATGTTTCTGCTCTCTGCAGGTCTTCTGGGCCCTACAGCTGGTAACTGTCCTGGTTCCTGGAGCTTGGTTTCACCTGTACGCCGCCTGTAAGAATATAGAGCAAGAGGAAATTCTTGACCGGCCCGTCTACACCGTCTTCTACATCATCTCCGTTCTGCTCCGCATCATTCTTGAAATCATCGCCTTCTGGCTACAAAGCCACCTCTTTGGTTTCCAGGTTTGTCCATTTCTGACAATTTTCAGCTCAAAGTTCAATACATGAAGAAGTATGGCTTGTTTTGTAGAGTTGCTGCAGAAAGTTGCTTCTCTTCAATGCAACAGCTTGACTTAGATTTCGAAGGTTGTGTCCGAATGAACTGCAGGTCCTTGTGGAATAAACAAAAGCCAACATACCCTCTACTGTCCTCAGGTTCACCCGGTGTACGTCTGTGATGCCAGCTCCTTGGAGAAGGCCTTCAATGTGACGAAGTGCATGGTACCTGAACACTTTGAAAAAACCATCTTCCTCAGTGCCATGTACACTTTCACTGTGATCACCATTCTTCTCTGCATTGCTGAGATATTTGAAATACTCTGCCGGAGACTTGGCTATCTCAGCAATCAATGACAGAAAGGTTCATGCAGAAACACAATGAGTGAAAATATCTGTCATATTTTCAAACTGTTCATGTTGGGCTCATTGTCATTGGGACTTTCATGAAGCAGAAAGTCGGTGCTAGAGTCAGACTTCACCTGTGGTACGTCAGTAAGCAGCACCAAGAAATTTGGGAAGGTGCAGTCATGTCAGGGCTGGCCAGAACCAGCGGTTCTTTTGGTGTTGGCTGCCCTTACGTATTGAATGACCATCCATTGGTGTATTTCAGAAGACGGTTCTGTACTGGCTTGGTCGAAAAGTGTTGAATGATTGGACTGGATGGCCAGAAAGTGTCAGCTTCTCAAAGCTGATAAGATCCCAGGCATTTCTTTTGATTAGTGGAGAAGGAAAACTCATTTTGACCCAATCTTGAAGATTTTTATAAACTGAAGGTTCACTGAGATATGAACATTTCTTGGAGATGAACCTCAGATCTAATATTATACAGAACAAACATTTGTTTGTTCTGTATAATACACATTATATGATACCCTGATTTTTGAGCAACCTAAAATCAGGTTTGCTCTTGAACTCAGATGACTGATTTCCAGTTACTGTTTGATCAAACTGAAACAAAAGGTTGATGGTCCTGAAAGAAGCCAAAAGTCTCCCACCAATCCTGTGCAGAAGAAAGGCCAACAGATTGAATTAATCTCCATTAAAATCAAAGGCTGGATGTCAAAATGTCTTGACCTCATCATTAAAAGAGATGCAAGCTCAGTGTAACTTTAGTAAAATGAAGTAAGAAAAAGAAGCAATAGAAAATTTGGTTATGATCATTGAGAATATTTTTCAGTGAGCACAATTACATGCTGCCCACCCGGTACAATAATCAGTTTTTAATCATTTTTAATGGATGTGAACAAAATTGGATGGAAATTTTGACACATATAAAGTTGGTTCTGCAATGATAATCCTCAGAGTTTGTTTGCAGCAGCTGCCCTTCAGCTTTGTTCATGTCTGGTTTTTTACTCCTTAACCACTGAATTTAGCATAATGTCCTCTACATCCATACCCATTTAGTTAATTTAAGCTACTTCATGCATTTTCCTTTTAAAGTCAGTGTCTGTCCTTGGAAAAATAATTTAATCTTCTCTTCTGTCCTGTTTTATTCTTTTTTACTCAGACATCCATCCAACTTTTGTTATGAAGTTTTTAGCAATCTGTTTATCATCTCAGGTACAGGATTGTATAACAAGACAAAAGTGGATCACACCATCTTTTCAGAACCTTTAAAACCTTGTATTTCGCACTCCGACAGATTTCCAGAACTTATTAGTTATATTTCTATCCCTCTAAATTTCACCAATGGTTTTGTTCCTGCAACTAGAGAAGCATCAGTCCTTCAGAGCACCTAATGCCTGCTGGCTGTTCCAGAAGTCTGTAGAGTAAAATAATCACTGTACAGTTCATCTTCCGGGCTTCAGTCATGACCCAGGCTGCATGCTACCACTATTTGATTTTACACCCCTAAGCATTTATATATCCATTGCATACTTTCAAGTCTGATTTTTTATAAGGTTAACTGATAGTAGCTAGTCCAGATTAGCATGCTAACTGTGGGTGGTTGCTAGCATGCTAACCAGCAACAGTTGCAGCAGATTTAAAAGTGTAAAAATCAGGGGATGTTTTCTCATATGGCACAAGTTAAAGGTTTAGACACAGCTGCATGTGATTGTGTGTATCACGTTTCCACTACAGCATGTTCTCTGCTTTAATATCTATTCATACTCTAGTTTGTACTCATTTTGTATTGCTAAGTGTAAAGAAACGGTAAATGCTTTCTACTTCTGTTTCCCACATCTGTCTTTGTACTGACATAATTTCACCCCAAACATGTTTTCAGTCACTTAGCTACAGTAAGGTACACTTCATATTAAAACTGTTTGTTTGACTGATATTGCATATTATCTGTAATTGTCATATTTGTTTTGTTATGAGATTATTAAAGAAAATGTTCTCCAATTAGCTTTGTTTTTATTTATTTTATTTTATTGAAACAATTTTGTTTGGCAGCTTTCATACCAACCCTTGTTAATATTTTAAATTCTGGTGATGCTGTTGGTAGTTTTATTTTACACAGAGCAAACATATATGGCTAATTAAAAACAGACACTATTCTAAACTTGTCAGCATCTTTGGAGACATATCAGAATATTGAAACAAGGATGGATAAGGACCCATTTTTTCTGGTCAAGATGCAAAAGGAGGTTGATGATTTTCAGCATTCAGTGGAACCAAGGACATGTTTTTCTCTTATGTATCTTTTAAAGAGGCATCGATTGCTGTGGAAGCTATAAATAAGGCTGTAAAGGAGAGAGGAATCTTTGACTTTTATGTTAATGCAGGACCATAAAAATCACTTAGCTATTTAAGAAATGGGACCATAGTTTAATCACCTGCATTCAAAGGATAAAATCAGCCAATTAATTGTTGATGGAACATTGTATGCACCTCAGGCAGTTTATCCTCATGTACTTGTCCCTCTTCACGATCCAATTGTGTTTGTACCTGTAACAGTTCTCAGTACCCCAAACCAATTCAGCCTCCTGATCTTGTCAGGGAAACAAAGATCAGATCTGAGGCTGAAGACAATGAGTGTAAAAATGAATTATAAAAGTGAACATGAAGGCCTGGACTTTGCTGAATCACCTCTGGTCATGGCCACTCTCCAAATCTCATTTCACTTTTATTTCCAAATCTGTAGTTGGAACACATAAAAACAGCATTCCCTTCCAAAGAAAACTGGCATCAGACGAATATTTATTACTAAAAGCAGTAGGATGGGATTTATGAAGAACATCAGGTTACAGGTTCATCCAATCACAAACCAGACCGATTAAATCAATGTTTTCTTTTCTCCCACTGACCAGAAAGTCATTTAGCTGTGACAGACAAACTCCCTGCTCCAAATCCTTCTGCTGTCTTTGAAATCTAATTTTTTTTGAGTTTTTCAATGCTTGATTGGATTTGTTTTCTTCAGTGTATCTTGTTGGTAAATATATATTGGTTTCCACAGACTACAGAATCTGTTGAATAAAACATTTTATTGGCTCAGAAGTTAATTGAATTTTGCTTTACTTGCTCACATCTGAGTCTGAAACTGATACTAGATTTTAAAAGTTCAAAGCAGGATTTGTGGATCTTGAAGTGTCTTTATGCTACCTGTAACCAACAATAGGTTTTGAAATGCGAGGCACAAAACCCACAAAATATTTCTGTTTCACTATCCTGGTTTTGTTATGTGAACTGGGCCTAAGTGGACTCCAGGATCTGCAAAAAGCAGAGATGAAATTAGAAAACTCTTGAACTGAAAACAATCAGACTTCTTGGTTGGTTGACCTGGAATTCTGAAAAAGGCATGGATCCAAATCAGAATCAGACTTTGAACAAAATTTGTTTCAGTACAGTGAAACACAAAGAAAAAGGCAAACAAACAATCACACTTAAAGGTAGACAAGAGGCAAACAGAATCAGACACAGAAAAAACAACGAAAAATAAAATGAATCTAATTAGTGAAATCAAATTTGTTTTCAGGGAATGAATGATCCTTAGTGAGAACCGAAACCACAGGACATTATGAAAGACAGACGATCAAGTCTTCCCCAAGTTAGTAAAATAAATGAAAACTAATTGGACAAAAAACTTCTTTAGGTTGGAAAAACAAGGAAAATTTCAAAGAAGAAAAAAAAACAAGAAAAGAAATAATTGATGTATTGTCCATAAAAACATAAATTAAATTCTAGACTTACCCATACTTTTCAGTGATGGAAACCTGTGCTCTATAGGTGTGTTTGAATTGAGAGGCAGCATCATTCGAAGGCTGCATTTGAAACTTAGGAAGTGAACACGTTTGGGAATCAACAGTTTTATCTCTGCATTGGTACTTTATCTATTTGCTTATTTTTGTTTGTTTTTGTTGTTGTTTTTTATTTTTTGCATCTTTAACGTAAACATTTGAAAAAGCTGAAAAAGTAAAAAAAAATCGATCAATTGAGGTAATCATTTAAAATTTAAGTTTTAAGAAGTAAATTTACAACTTTGTGGCCCGTGTGAATTGGTCACGTGATCTTCCCCCGCTTTACGGGGTTACGTCATCCCAGCCGATGGGATGGCCGCCTCTTATTGGACGGAGAGGCGGAAGCGACACAAACACTCTGCTAACAACAACACTGACCATTTGCACTGAGTTTGTGTCTTGTGGAGGAGTTTTTGGACCCTCATGGCTTTGCCAGCCCAACTCAGAGCCATCCAGCACCATCTACGGACTGCTCAGGAGCATGAGAAACGGGACCCGGTGGTGACTTATTACTGTAAGTCCTCAGCTAACGCTAGCAGTTAGCGCCTCGGCTTTGTTTACTTGGAAACAGGCCGGCTGCTTTGGCTTCAACTTTTATTCAAAGTGTTTCAGAGCGAAATATCCTTAGTGATTTTTATCCGGCGGGATATAAATAGTTAATTGTTAGTGACAGGTTGTCGTTTGGGCAGTTCAAACTTTAGGAGAAAGCTAACACTTACGTAGCCTGACTACTGTTTAAGGTGGAAGGTTTCTCATAATATTCTTAACTTTAGGCTGGATTCTAACTTTTATAAATGACAGTACGTTCTGTGAAGTTTCTGTTAGCATGTGCAAGTGTCTGTAAGTCTGTCAGACATGTTTTACCTTAAACTGTCTGACTGGTGATCATTGTGTCAGAATGACGCAGCAGGTTAAAGTTCCTGTCCAGCAGGTTCAGGTTGTCCACCGGATGACAGATGGCTCAACCTGCAGGAATGTACCGAACCCCTCCACGGTGTTGCTTTAAAACCTCAACAAAACGGTACAGAAACTGCTTACAGCTTGTATTTAATGGATCTCTAAAGGAGGCGGGACAGAACCCTGATCAAAACATAACTTTAGGTTAACGTCCTGCTGTTTTATAATAACTACTTAAGTCACAAAACAACATTTACTTGAAATAAACTATGATTAGGTTATAGAAAATTACCTCCGAATCTGAATTCATCCAAAATAAAGACTCATAAAATGAATGTTGACAAATATTATTTACTCCAGATGTTCAAAAATAACTTCTTTAGGTTGAAAAAACAAAATAAATTTAAAAAAAAAATCAGCTCAATTATTATCTTACTTTATAATGCGAATGAAACGACAATAAAGATGTGGCAGAAAAAAATACCTTGTTGGTTCATGGATAAAGGGGTTTAAAAACTTTGACTCAGACGTATGTAGCATCCTGCAATAACCTCTAGTGACTTCGTAGATATTATTGATGGGCATTAATGACTGCCCGCTCCAGTAAAGGTGTGTTTAAATTCAGAGGCTGCATCTTTTGAAGGATCTGGTTGGCCAGGTCCTTTGAAAGATGCAGTGACTGAGTATGGACACACCCTGTAACTGAGTAACGTCAACCTGATGTGCAGCAGTTAGTTTAAAGGCTATGTGCTGTTTGCACAGATGAAACATTGCAGGACGTTACTGAATAGAAATGTTGTCCAGATTTAATTGGAATATTATCAAAGCTGATCCGACTAACGACCTGCAAAAGAAACAAGTTCGAATGAATGATCGAAGTTTAAAATCTGGTGAATTTAAACTTCCCTTTAAACATAATTAAAATAATAAACAAGAGATGCTTCATGCTTTTTGTAATATTTGTGGAAACCTTTAGATTTCTCCGAACATCGAGTCACTCTGCGTTGAACTCCCTGAATCAGCAGCATTTGTTTCCACTTCCTTTGGTTCTGATTCACCCATCTCCATCCTGGGATCAAAAGGAAATTAATTTAATAATTTTTGTGAATGCTTTCAGACAGAGGACTCAGTGTTTGATGCTCCACTCTTGAGCAGATGCGGTTGAAGCTTTGAAGTCATGGAAATGGTTGGTGATTGTTGTCATCATTGGAAAAGCTGTTTCTCAGAAACAGAAAAACTTTTGAGTTTGATTCATAATTTTCTAAAACCATCTAATTTATTTTTCAGTCGGCCTTTTCTATGCCCAGTTGTTTACGACACACGAAGATAGTATATTTATCCATATTTTACAAGAAAAGAAACCAGTAAAGGCTAAATTTAATTCAGAGGTGTTTTTGATGCAAGAGCTCGATCTTCATGTACATCATCTTTCATCAAGTCCAAGCTCTTCAGGTGTGGAAATCCCAAGTTCACTTTATATGGGCACAGAAAAAATATGCACACATTTTCTTCGCTGTCTGAAGTTAAATCAGTTTAAACTGGGCCACAAATACTAGAATTTTTTCTATTTGCTAAAAGTCAAAAAATTAGGAAGGACATTCTCTGCAGATCCCACACATGCTGGACACAAACTGTTTACACTTTTACCTTCAGGTGGCGCTGCAGAGACAGTGACTCTGCTCTGTCACATGAAACCTTGTTTTTCGGTCTTTATTAAAATACATGCAGCTGTTATGTTGTTTATGTGTTTCCTGTAAAGGTTACATATTTACATTTTGATCTGTTACTCTGAAAACCAAAATTAAATTCCCTTCCTGCGCCACCATGTTGTCCAGTAGAGGATGTGGGTTTGGGTTGGATGCGGGTCAGATGTGGCCCAGTGATGGCGCCAGGCCACTGGAGGTCAGCAGCACCACGTGTTTGGGCCGCTGGCCCAGCGGGGACTCGTTAGGTTTTCAGCCGCCTCTCTGCAGATGGTCAGGATTTATGACAGAAGCAGCTTCAGGAATGAGCTCCAGTCCAGTTTCCAGTCAGATCTGCTCAAGATGTGCAAGCAATTTGGATCTCCGACATTTTCCAGACAGTAAATGCAGCACCAGTTAAAGATGAGGCAGCTGTATCTGGTTCAGGAAGAACTGGAGAAGTGATTGAGACATTTTCATAAACGCAGAAAAAAACCCCGTCCGACTGGAATGTGTTTGATCAAAACTCTCATCAGAGTCCTGAAGCTTTTAACCGTCCCTTTAATCAAAGTGTCAGCCTGTAGATGACCCTGCTGATGCTCAGAACGGTCCGATCGCTTTCAACGGCAGTCAGAACCATGATTCATTCAGCTGTAATGATTCTGCAAACTCACCTGCAGCTCGGCTGTTTGGCTGCGTTACAAACATCGTTTCACACTGATTGGGTCGCTGACGTTGTTAATGACTCCAGCTCTGATTTCGCTGCCAGTGTTTGAGAATCATGACTCGATCTGATCCTCTATTAGTGTGATTTCTGGTCAGGTTTTACCTTGGCAGCATTAATGTAAATATTTTACTACTCTGCAAATATTAGCCCCATTTAAAGCGACTGCATGCTTGTGGAAGCAGCTTGTGGGTTGATTTAATGTGCAGTCTATGAGCTTTCATGGTGTGACCATGGTGACGTTGCTGGGTTTAAAGATGCGGGTCAGAACCGTCCAGGCTGTTCTTTAGAGCTAATGGACCTCTGGAAAGCGTTCCAGAGTCAGGAAGAACTTGATCTGTTTCCTTATATCAATCTTTTAACAAGAACATCAACAGAATCTTGAAACGTCCTTGAAAACTCCGAAATATTGTTGAAGTTTTTTCCATGTGAAAGGAAGAGAAAGAAAAAGAGAAATGGAAACCAAAACTTTCTTTCCTGTTTCATCAATCAGTCTGTCATCTGTTTATCTCTTTCCCTCCTTCAGTCCATCATTTCATCCATCTGTCTGTCCTTTTGTTTGTTCATCCATCCAGTCACCATCCATACATTTAAACATCCATCCATCTAAAATTAGTTATTCTGAGTCTGATCTTTGCAGAAATGTTTGTGATAAATTCAAAAGATTAAGCTTTTTTATTCAAGTTTCAAAACTGGGTAAAGAAATGAAAAATGTTTCCTGGAGAAGTTTATAGTTTTGACATCAAAATGTTCTGAGCTCCTTTAGAACATTTGGACGTCAGTGAGGAGGAAACGGCTGCAGAAAGAGGCTGAAGTCACCAGAGATGATCAGCAGATAGTTTCTATTTCTGGCTGGATGTTTCTCAGAATGAAGACAGGTTCTGTCCTGCCTCTGCAGTCTCACACCTGCTGTGGGGGAAAAAAAAAAGTCTTTAGCGTTTCTTACACAACTTTAGAGAGGTTTCCATTTTTATCTGAGCTGGAGTCAGCAGCAGCAGGAAGTCTTCATCGTCCTGAACAGGAAGTAGCAAACAGCAGGACAGGAAGAAATGATGCTGAGACGCCATCATCTCAGAGAAAACCAGGAAACCCAACTATCAGCTGTAAGCTGACTAGTTGGGTGTGCTGACCAGCAGAGGGCTGAACTGGGCAGACTGGGAGGAATGGGCCGAGTGGGAGGCCGTCCAGCTGCTGCTACAGAAGAAGCCTTTGTTTGTGCGTGGCTTCCTGCGCTGCAGGGCAGCATCCATGTTCTGGAAGCTGTGAGTAGCGCAGGTCCTGCTGCTGCCACACAGACCGGCCCGTCTCCACGCTGCCTCTGTGAAACGGGACTTTTGTTCTGCTGGTTGCGGGACGATGACGCTGAAAACAAAGCGCTGCCGACAGCAACGGGACGACCCGAAACACAAGAGACATTTAACTGACCAGTCAAATGTCTCTGTCCACCAAACTGCATCTGGTTAACAACACTGATAACTAACCCAACCTGCAGGCAGGAAAAACTAATGGATATAATAAATGCAGAACTGAGGCCTAAAAGCAGTGAATGCCCTCTGACCCAGAGCAGCAGCAAATAGGAGGTCTGTGACAGTAATGGGACTTTTGGAAATAAAAATCTCCGGGGAAGGAGGGAAGGTTTGTCAAAATATTTTTCAGTAAAAAATTAAAGCACTTTACTGTTAGGAAAATACATTTTATTTCTGTGTAAATGGATCTTCTGGTGTGAAATTAAAAATTCCAGTGAATAGATTAATGCAGCAAAAAAGGACAAATTCTCTAAAATTAATAATTATGGCACAATAAAAAGTCTTGAGAATTTTTGGATTTAGAAAAGTAAACTACTAACAATTGTTAGTAACTGATCATTCAAATCAACTCCTCTTTAAGAAGGGAAGAGATTTTCTTATTTATTTGAAATAAGTAAGAAAATCTGTATTTTATAAATAAAAAAAAGAAAAATTACTGAAATTCTTGCTTTTACCTTGAAAAATGTTACTGAAAATAAAGTAATGCAGATTTAGAAATGAAAGGAAAAAATATAAGGACCTAAAATTATAATGTACTTTTTAAAAAAATTGCATTTTAAATAGTTTTTCTTGAAGAAAACAATGGAAAGTAAATGGTTTTCAAAAAATAAAGGTGATAACATTTCACATAAAAAAAACTAAGGAATTTTAACGATATTTGTCTAGAAAGTCTTATAATAGATGTGACTTAAAAAGAAAATAATTTGTCTTATTTATTTGGTGAAATAAATAATTATGCTTAAGAAAACAAATTTTCTCTGAAAACTTATTATGTTTCAGAGAAACAAAATTTATTACAAAATCTACATTTTTAAAAGACATTGAAATAACAAAATACTCTTCAAAAATATAGTTTACTTTTGTAATAATTATTTTTAAAAATCATTATTGAGGAATAATGATTTTCTGAGGAAACCACTCCAGTTGTGGAGTGGTTTCCAGGAATTAAACAAAAATAGTAAAAAAAAACCTTTCAAATGAATTAGTTGTACTTCAGAAAGTAGATAATCATTCACCTTTTGAAGATGATTTATCTGAAATGATTGTTTGGTTTTGAAATAAAATGGTTAAATACATTGCATTTAAAACACATTAAGTTGTAATTCTCTCTCCTGGCTTCTAAAGCCACTAATGAAGGACAAACCCGAGTTTCATGTCCGTCCTCCTGCTGCAGGTCGGCTCTACGCCATGCAGACCGGCATGAAGCTGGACAGCAAGACTCCGGAGTGCAGGAAGTTCCTGGTGAAGCTGATGGACCAGCTGGAGTTGGTGAGTCGTCCTCCTCCTCTTCCTCCTCTCTGTGTGCGATCCCATCTTGGCTGCCAGGGACGGGTAGTTTGGCAAAGTGCAGGTAATTCCTGCCATTAGCTGGACTCTAACTGAAGATCAGAGATTCATGCTGGGATGCATTATGCTCTGCAGGAGGCTGCGTCTTCCAGTATGTTATGCCTTTTTCTGATTATTTCAATTAAAAATCTTAAGTTTCTTCCATTGGCAAGTCATGGAGTCAGGGCGCTGGTTTGATCAGAATGAAACAGACTCAGGACTGGAGTCAGACTGTCAGCTTTTTCAGAAAGGCCACAGAAAGTACATTTCACTCTGCAACCTGTTCAAAAAATAAAAAATAAAAAACACAGGATCTGCAGCGAGACCACTGAATTTAGGAGAAATGTTTTCTTTTCAAAGAAGAAAGAAAGGATGAGGAAAAGAGGAAAATGAAAACAATAAATAAAGAGAAAAAAAATAAATGAGTAAGAGAAACAAAAAATGAGAAACAGGACAAATAAAATTAAAAATTAAAACAATTTGTTTGCAATATGCATTTTGCAAAGAACGACATAGATGACCGTAAATGTTACCTGATTATTTGAGTACATTCAGGTTCTCTGTGCCTGAAATACAGTTTGTTGTTTGTTTTCACACAAAGAATAAGAAAATGTAACACATAAAGAAGTACTGATGTCACTAAAACCATGGACAATTGAGACAATTGCATTTTCCAAGAGATGAATGAATTGTATTTGAGGTTTATGTTTGCTATGAAACACTTTTATTATTTATCACATTCAATAATTTTATCACCTGTTTTCCTAACATCCAGACTTGGAAAATAATTTGCGAGTAGTTGAGGTAAACCACACAACAGTCATGCATAACCTGTAAACCATCATACAGATACATCTGAGTAATGACATGATTATAAAACCAGCCTTTCAGAAGTCATTGAGGTTTCACATTTAAAGAGAGATTGTTGACTTCATTTGAATAAAATGTTATTTTAAGATTTCAGGTAAAGTATGCTGTTATTATTTTCTTTTTAAGTCACATCATGCAATAAATGGATCATAGTTCCAAACTTCTTGTTTTAAGTAATTATGATTATTTAACATGCTTGTTCAGAGTTTTTATAAAAGGTATTTGGACAAACGGTGACAGTGGTTGACAGGAAGAAGAATTTCATCACCTTAACAAGCGTCGACTCAAAAGTTTCCACATTTGTAGAGTTTCTGTGCAGCAACTTTTGGCAGATCTTTAAACTGTACATAAACCTGGTCTGTGCAGCAGCAGAAGAGAAAACAAGTGTTTCCTTATTAATCACTCAGAGTCAATTAAAGCAGACACAGTTTACCCAGGAGACAGCTTTTACAGAAGCACTGGAGAGCTTAACAACGTCACAGTCTGGATGCAGAGTCACATCCTCAGCTTTGATGCACTTCTTCAGTATTCAGATTCATTAACCGTCCTCAGCTGATAATGAATCACCAAGCTATGATGGATTCCTTTTTAAATTAGGACAAAGAACATCTGGGTTGAATAGAAGAAGTGGGACACATTCGACTGTTTCCATGTCATCAAAGTTGAAGTTGACTTTTTGTCTTTTTCCTGCCATTAAAATAGTTTTACAAATACCAGCTGTCTGCTGGGATCTTCCTAGAGAATAAATGAATCAGCGCATTAGCCATCACAGCTTTCTCCCTGCTGACCGGCTCAGCTGGACTCATTAAATCTGTTTTGCTGCGTCATCGTCGGATCTGGTCTCAGAGGTTTTGCTCTCTCTAGGGAGGTAGAAATCATTTGTTTAAAAGCCGGTTTCACTCCAAAGCCCAGACTGCTGTCAGCCACTGAGCTGTTTGATTCTGACTAACAGGTAAATTCATCTCAATACATTCATGAAATAAATTCTGTCTCATTTTATGTTGTATTTAGAGATGCTTTGGGTACATTACTAAAGGAAGTACATTCTGTCATTTGTGTTAATATGAGCTACAATATGTGACTTGTGGAGTTCCTCAAGGCTCCATTCTCAGTCCACGAATATTCATCTCACACAACTTTATATCATTGTCAGCACATGACCAGAGTTCATTACTGTTAATGTTATTTTTCAATATTTTCTTATTTAAATAATCAACAACTAATTTGGTGATCAAGTTAGTTGATTAAGAAATCAACTAATTGTGCATATAAAAGCACAATGTATATAATATGTATTCATTGTATATATATTATCAAGTCACCACAATGACCTGAAAACTACCACTGCACAGTATACTGTCAAAATGTCTCTTTAACAGCCTTTTTTTTTGTTCAAAACATCCACTTCTAATTTGTTTTGTTGACCTGAAATATAAAAATATCAAAAACAAAAAACAAGAAAGAGTGGACATGTCTGAGTAGCTAATTGATGTTTGATGGTTCTGTGATTCAGAACCAGTCTTTGTTCACCTTCCACCACTTCACATGTTTATTGAAATAGGCATCCTAAAAAAACCTTTAAAAATATCTGACTATCGTTGCATTTCCAAAGTGAAGGTGTTTTTTTCCGATGAAACATTAGCTTAACACTAACATGAAGAGATTCCTTTGATCCCAGGTTCTTTATGTTCCCTGACCAGTTGTCCTCCATGGTTTTACATTCCTGTGCTGCTTAACACATCCACTGATCAAACCAGAGAACAGAGTATCTATTCAGGCCTCTCAGGGTCCACCTACCGGGGGAAACCAGAGTGGTTTCTGTTGTGCTTTTACTAGAAACCTGAAGCCCTGTTGGACTCAGTAACAGACAGAAAGAATGGAGCTGAAAGGACTGGAGAAAACATGAGTCTGACGTCACACTAGATGGCGCTCACTTTGGAGAAAGCAGTTCTTAAAGGTTCTGGATTACTTTCTTTTACTCTTCACTATAATATATAAAAACTTCCATCCTCCAAACTGATTACGTTCTGAATTCCTTTTTGGCACTAAACAGTTAAACACCAGATTACAACAAATCAGCTAACAGGAAGCTAAGATCAGAGTTTCTGACTGTGTGACGTTTGTTTTGCAGATGAAGAAGGAGCTGAGCGAAAACGATTCCATCACTCAGGAGGTGGTCGGCAACGCTCACATCGAAAACTACGCCTTAAAGCTGTTCCTGTACTCCGACAACGAGGACAGAGCGGGACGGTTCCACAAGTAAGGAAATGACAGGAGTTGATACGAGGCGGCGCAGGCCGGTCGGGCCGCTCCTCGATGTCAACTCTTTGATTGTGATGCGTTTGCCCTGTCAGATCAGCAGTTTGTTTCTGAATCCGATGCCTGTTTGTTGACCAGCTGTTTACTCCACCAACCACCGCCACATCTGGCTGCGCTTTATGCTCACGGCTTTCAGACACAACACGCTCTCGCGCAGCGTGACTTCATGTTTTACGTCTTTTGAACCTTTTGTGTCCTAGCAACAGGCAGTGACTCATGCAAAGACGTTTCACTTCAGACCACATGTTCAGGTCTACATGTAAACAGCCGTGTTGGGTTACTTAGTTTATACGTGAGCTTCATTGCAGCAGTTTGGAGACTGTTACTTCCTTTCACCGTCTCAAAACAAAACACTTGATTACAGGGCGCCTTTAGCAGCTCTATTACAATACCACCAGGACTGTAGCTGTGTGTCCATTGATTGGGTTTTTGTGCAAATTACAAAAAAATAAATTCGTTGAATGGAAATGCAGCAATTTTGAAAAAAGAAAAGTCACATTTTTCACTAAAAGGTTTTTGCACTGGGAAACGCCTTTTCACACGAGTCATGATCAACAACCAGACGTTGCTACTGGCAGAAGAGACGAAGACAACAACAGGAAGTGGACATTTAATGATTACTTACCATATGAACAAACTTATTCATGTGATTTTAATTGACTTTCTTACTTAGTGAAAACACCTATTGGAAAACACAATCATAATATAGACAAAATTTTACGGGCATTTATAATGAAAACGCAGCGAATGTCCTTTGGGACAGATGATGCCAAAAGAAAGAAGATTGTGGCCACATTAAATTGAGCTTATCCACACTAACGCCTCTTATAAATGATTTGTAATCATGATGCAAAAACAAATAATCACCTTTTTTAGAGTAAAAAAGGCAAAAGAGGAAAATGAAGCATAGAAAATGGAATACAAAAACACACAAACTTGTGTTTCTACTCATATTAGGACTTTTTATCGACTTCCATTCATTTTAGTAACTGCATTTATGCCCAACCCAAACATTAACCGCTACCATAGCCAGTATATCGCTAACCATAGGTTTAAACTTCACTCTATACCTTTAAACATGACCCCTAACCCTAAAAGAGAGACTCATCACATCAGGACCGGGCTTTGCTCCTCATAAGGTCCATCAGTCTTTAGGTTGGTGAATAAGGTCCTAAAAAATTACTACGTATATATACAAGGATTTTGGTGATCATTACTGCACCTACCGTAAAAATTATTGCGTATTTGCAAAGTTAAGTGGGTGAATGCTGTGGAATAAAACCAGTTTATTCCATTTTCCTACCAGGAGCAGGTCAAAGGTCGGGTGTCCAGAGTGAGAGATGCCATTTATGTTGGTTTTAACCTTCTAAATCCAACCAGGACGCTGTGCAGGTCCCCCAGTATGGACCGAAGGCATCCAGTGGCCCTCTGAGATCACAACTATTTCCACATTATAATACTGCCGCCACCATGCTTTCATTTATTACCAATCAGGAGTCCAGGTTGCTACCTCCAAATGTGCTTTACTGATTTTTTTTTATTTTTTATGAATTAATTCTGTGGTCACTCTCCAATAAAGCTTTTCTGTTTAAAGTGTGCAGCTTAATTTACATTTCAGCTCTTGAATAAAAGAAAAATTGTTTATGAAAGCTTCAGTCAAACCTCTATAAGATCTTATAGATTGGTATGTCCATCCCTAAAACAGATCAGCCTCTCTCTACTTACCAACACAACTGAAACATTAATGAAAGCCGGGCCCGGTGGGCTGGATTTCCCTCCTAACGGTAGCAGTAGGTGTGAGAAGCAAGTTGTAAAGGGTGAATAGCAGCAGAGATGTTCTCTGTGTAAACAAGCAGTCAGACAGTTCTGTTTCCTGCAGCTGTGTTTAACAAGATCGAGTCACATTTCTGCTCCGCTGAACGCAAACAGCCTGCAGTTTAATGAGAAGCAGCAGGCGTCTGCAGTGTGTTTACACAAAGGCACAAATAATCAGCCATAAATAAGCAGAATTATATTCAATCTGAATCTCAGAGGTGAGTTGTAGAAACCCAACCAACCTCTGATGGAGTTTATTCATTCTTCTCTCCTTCATTCTGCTTCCATGATCGGAGAAACTCGGACGTTTATATCCACTTTTAACGCCATGAACATCATTTATGTGGCAACATTTCAATGTTTGATTTGCGCTGGTCTTTTTCCCAGCTAGAGATGATAATTAAAAAGAACCTCCAAGCTTCTGGCATAATTTTAGGTGAATATATGATCGCTCTTGTTGGCAGAGTTTGTTCCGTGGAAGAGACATGGTAAAGTATCCAAAAACTTAATGTTGGTCTCTTTTATTGGCATCATTGTCCTGTTGGAGACTGAAATGTGTCTAACAAACCCACTGTGTTCTGCTAAAGTCAAAGAAATTATTCAGCTCATCCATGTATATATTTTATGCTGAATTCATGTTTTTTGTGTCTTTTTATAAATTTTTGCAGCTGCACATTTGATGTTTATGTCAAGCTGTAAAGGAAATTGGCCACATGTGAGGAGGCATGTTTGAATGACAAGTGTACCAACTGTAAAGCACGGTGGTGGCAGCATGGTGGGTCTGTTTTATTGCTCTTGTTTCAACAAGACAATGGGGGCAAACAAATCCAAATTGGCTCAGGAATCAGTAAAGTCGGCCAACGGGAAGCTTTTCCTCAGTGAAACCGTGAGGACTGGAAATCATTCTGATACTGAGGCGTTTTAGTGAAATTCAGAAAATTGAGCGTTCATTGAATCAGAGTGATGGCAGAAGTTAATAGCTGGTAGCAAAAAGTTTCCAGTTTCCCATCAACCTGCTAAGAGATGTGCAAGCTCAAAGTTAACACGAAACAATGATGCATTAAAAGTTTAACTTAAAATTTATGAAATTTATGCACTTTATGCAGGTCATCTCTCACCAACTAGTCTCACAATAAGATCTTTATCAGTCACATAAAGCTTTTTTACTCTTCAGAAGGACATAAAAAAGCTTTATATAAACGGTAAAATATCTACCCAAAAACGTCTCCAACATTTTTATGCATCCTTCTGCACTTTGTTGGGTCTTGGCACCCAGCGTGGATAATGGGATCATCATGTCTGAATGTCTCCCTGCAGCCTGAAGTCGGAGCATCCGTCACATTGAACCCCCGACCAACACTTTGAACTCATGTAAATGAGAAGCAGTTTTCCACTGAAACCCAGAAAACCTCTTGGCGTTGAACGGCTGAAAGCCTGACTGAAAAACTGACTGAAATGGGTCGAAAGTTAAAAGCTTGAGAAGTTTGACAAGAGATTTCGATTAGCTTCCAGTTTATGAAGCCATTTTTTATTATTAATGGGATATGAGATGCTGATAAAACTAAAAGTTTCTGTACTGATCTGTGGATCATTTGAAATGCAACATCTCTGTCCACAGATTTCTGAGGCTCAGATCAACATGTTGCATCACAAAATGATGCTGCAAAGTCCAAACCTGAAGCATCTTCATTCTGAAGACAATGTTTTTGAGCCAAAATGTTGCATTTTAGGCATTTGTCTGCTTTTTCTGAAGTGGGAAGAGCAATCTTTGAGGGCTTTCTTTTTTGTTTGTCTTTTTTAATTTAAAACCCTCAAAACTATTTCAGTTCCAGCTGTGGCGTCTGCTGCTCGGCCAGAGTCATTTGTCTGTATTTCCACATCATTTAGCAGATGTTTCTTTTCAAAGGAGCTTCTAAATAAAGAATTTATTTATCCAATAAACACATCGGCCAGTTTAACAGCTTCTCAAACAAACACACTGAAGGACAATATACAACATTGCTTTTTTTAGGTCTTCCACATTTTTGGATTTCTCATTCTTCCAGTGCAGTAGAAAACAAATGAACTATTTTTAAATTGTTCATTTTAAAATAGTTAATACATGGATACCAAATGTGACACATTTGGTATCCATGTATTGTATGTGATAGGAGTTAAAAGATTAGGGTGATGGAACGGAGGCCTTATAAACTGTAAACATTAGTATCTGAATCAGTAAAACACCAGAAGAAGCATAAATAAAATGATTGATCTGTCATCGTTTTCTTTCTGCAGGAACATGATCAAGTCCTTCTACACCTCCAGCTTGCTGATGGACGTTCTGTCTGTTTTTGGGGAACTTTCAGACGAGGTGGGTGAGAAGAGACAGCAGCAAAAAACAAAACAACCTGCGTCGTTTCATTCTGCTTTAAGTTATCAAAAGAATTTCCCCTCATTCTTGTTAGATTTAGAATACAATTATGGATCAAATAGAGTAAAAGCACAAACAAAACCCCGCTCTGTTTATCACTTAAAACACTCTCAGACTGTGCAATATTATCATCATTGTTGCATTGGATGGTAAACACATTATCTGCAGCTGGTAGGCGATGCTATCTCAGCGAAAGCTTTGACTCGTTTGTTGAAAAACTAACTTCCCAGAATCATTTTCATTCATCCTCCCATTAATCTGTGCAGAGTGGCAAGCAATTACCAAACTCCTGCTGCTCAGCCAAACTTCCTGACGTAATCAGAGCCAAACATGTTCAAAGATCCTGACATGTCCTGCTGAATTCTGGGATAAATGGTGGGCAAAGACCTGGACATTAAATCAAAAGGAGCAATCATCACAAACCACAGAGAGGCTGATTAATGGGGAACTGTTGGAGTGTTTGCAACAGGAAGTGCTGTTCTGTCCTCATTCATGTCAGGAGCAACAGCAACTTCAGAAACGTTAACATCTTTGTTCTGCTAATGTTTGATGGCTAAAGAAGAACAAATGAGTCATTTCTTCACTTTCCGACAGATTTATCAAAGGATTGAATGGATTTCTGCAGGTTAACTTTACATATTTTAAACTTTATCTAGAATAGCTTCTAATTACATTTAAAGTAGCAATAATCCTAAATAGAGAGTGCAAAGTCAAACAATCTTTCACGTCGCCTTAGCTTTAGCATGATTTCAAAACTGAATCGATCCGGTTAAAAAGTGCAGATGAGGAATTACAATTCTCCCTATTCAACCTGAACTCTAAAGCTCACGTTTGAATCCAAAATGTTTTTCCATTCCTCGTCTTCCTGCTGAATATTTCAGATGAAACTTGGAACAACCACAATGACATTATTATAAACTCTAGTGAAGCAAATATTGCATCAGCTGACATTTGAAAAAATGTGAATGAAGTACAGTGTATTGGTAATGTCTGGTGGAATATTTAAAAGAATGATGTAACCTGATAGAAACAAAATAAATATTGTGCAAATTCTGATGTTTTGGAGACTTTGGGGTCACAAATGGGGTCTCAGTGCTGTTTTTGTTGTTTTTTGTAATTCGATGCGAAATGGGGGGAATATTTTTAAAAATGTTTCCAATAATTATGTGCTTCTGTCTTCAAGAGGCCTGCAGGCTGTTATAATGGTAGTTTTATTTGAGGTAAAACAAAATGAAAACTCCTCGATTACATTCATATTCAAATTGTCCGTTGGTCAGTGACTTAACGGATGGATCAGTCCGTTAATACTGTGTGTGGTTGAAGGAAACAAAGCTGGACTCTCTCCTCCTGAGTCATGAAAACATCAGCTGAACTTGTTTTGTTCACACCGTTTGACTCAGACAGGAACGCGCTGTGACTGGACCGGCAGGCGCTGATTTCTGCTTTCACACTGCTGATGTTCTGGTTCTGGTTCTGCTTTTTCAGCAGAGCTCCACGTCTCCGATGATTTTCTGGTTCTAGTCCTGAAGCTGCAGCCTTCATGTTGCACAGATTTCATCCTGTACAGTGTGAAATTAGGCGTGGTGTGTGAGTTACTGTTAGCATGTCTCCACCTGGATCAGGACTAAAATAATTGGTTAATAAATGCAACAATTATGAGCTTTTATGTATGAAGATTCAGGTGCTATTTATGCTTTTATTGTTTTTGTCATAAAATTATGGAGCAGCCGGTTTGGATAGTGATTCTCTTCCTTTCTGTGGAGATACTCTTCCAGCATGGAAATTGGAATTTTAATGGGTTTGTTTGATGCAAAAAAAGGATTCTTAACAGTTATGTTAAAATAATTGTATTCGCTTCTGTCTCACCACCAGCAAAATGTCCACATTATTTGTGGAAAATTTGCATATTTCTTCATAGAGCATATGTAGCTTTAGGCTACACCAGGCTATCCAAACTGCATTTATATTTTAAGAAAATGTTTCTCAGCTTGGAAAGCTGTGAGGGGCATAATGTTACTTAATATTATTGGCTGGTATTTGCAAAACTGCCAATCCAGGAGTGGCATTCATTTCTCTTGTTGCTGATTTGTTTTACACTATGAGGAAGACAAGATATTAATGTAGTGAAACAGTTTCTAACGTTTAAGGTAGATTTGGTGTTTTAAATTGTTAAAGTAGGCAGCTGAAAGCATTTTAGAGATGCCCTCAAGTATTTGGGGAGTTTAAGCTAGGTGCTAGCTTCGCTGGTGGCTAAGAAGAGAGAGAAGCAGAGAGTTTTGGACATTTCTCTGCCCCTTTCCCAAGCAGGAGAGACTTCTTTTCTTAGGAATATCTTCTCCATTAGTCACCTGTTACTTGAAATGTTCACATGAAAAGTCCCTCTCTTTCCCGTTTCATATCACATCAGTGTTTCTTTCCCTGATGGAAATGACCAACTTCAACCTTTAGACATGCCAAGGCCAAACAAACAGCTCTTGTCCGAAACTCCATTGTTTCTGTAAAACATGGCACTTATCTGGAAGAAGCAGGTCTTTCTACAGTCGCTCTTATCAGCATCATGTCTGTGTGAATGTGTCCGTCTTGGTCTTTTTACCCCTTCTGCTCTTTTTTCCCACATTCCAAACATCCTGCCACCAACACTGAAAAAGATGTGATGTTTTTTTGTGGTACCTGCAGGTCTCCAGTAATTAGGCCACAGCTGTGATCCAGAAAATTAATTTTCTTATAGGAGTGACACATAAAGTAACTATTTAGGCTTTTTATGATGAAAATTTGCCTCAAAGTTTGTATGATGGAAGACAGACTTGCATTAAGACCCGTCTTAGCATAGTGAAAGGTCCAGTGTAACTCAAAGACCTGAAGAGTTGGTAAATACTTACAATGATCGACCAAACACCCAGACACTGTCCTTAAAATATCCTCAGGGTTGAAGTTTAGGCTGAGTTTGGTAGTGAAGGGTTCTGAAACTGACTTTAAGCCTTTCATTCATAGTAAATAAGAGTAAGAAGTGTGATAAAGTTTGAACCAAATTCAAGATTCAGCAATTAATATGTATTCCTTCTTTACACGTTGTCCCAAAACTGGACTCCTGCTTGTAAAATTTTGAACATTTTAATCTTTTCCAGAACATCCAGCACCGGAAGTACGCCCGCTGGAAGGCCACCTACATCCACAACTGTCTGAAGAACGGCGAGACCCCGCAGTCCGGCCCCATCGGCATGGATGAGGATGAGGAAGCAGGTGAGATCCTCTGATACAGTCGTGTTCCTCCACAAGACAAACACCCAGTCTCATTTCTTTAAGGAACACTTCCTTAGAGTGTGTGATGGTGTGTGTTCAGTCTCGCACGGCATTGTTCTGGTTATCGGCTCTCAGGAGCTGGAAAGGCCTGCAGTCAAAGGTGTAGCCTCTGAAAGATTAGGAGAGATTAGTCATGTAATACGTTCTCACAGCCAACAAGTTTCTGCTTTTTATATAATCAACTCTGTTTTGTTTTTTTAGAATTTAGCCTTAGAAATATTTTTTGGAAATATTTTTTTATTTTTTATTTTATGAATAAGCTATGACTTAAAAGAAAAAAGACTATCTGCTTCAGATCAACTTAAAGGCTCTGACCTTTGCTGCTCTGAAAATCAATGAACTTTTATGCAGGTTTACACCATAAAACTTAACCTTTTAACGAAAGAAAGCCTTGGAAAACCCCTTTGTTTGAGCTCATACGACAAGATATGCCCAGTAACAACCTTTAAAGCTACTGTTTGGGCAACTTTTTGTTGGGGGAAAATGGACTGGAGACTGTGGTTGATTGTTCCCGATTCTGCAGAAAGTAATTCAAAAGATAAGAAGCATTTACCAGAGACTCATTGTGACCTCTACCCACAAACACTGGACTATTTTTCTTGTTAAAAAGACAAAAGAAGCTACTTTAACACCCAGTTGAAGAATCAGAGGATTTTAAAAATATAATTTCAGGACTTTTTCTGACATTAATGTGTCCGAAAAGGCACAAAATCACCCTTAATGTGTTACTTTGTCAAAGCGCTTTTTTATTTTCCTTACAGCGCTGAGTGTTTTGGGTTAGCCACCTGTTGGACTTCTCATGTGCACACCTGCGTTCACACCTACCAGCAGATTCTCAGTTGCTTTGAGTCGTTGTTGTGCTGAATAAAGACGTTGCTCTTACAGTAACTTTGTTTTTGTCGAGTTTTTACTGGTATAAACTGGTTTTCTGGTGTCTTAATATTTCACCTGTCTTTGTTTTGACCACAGTACAATTTCCCAAAAGGTTTGTTTTACCGTCCTGCACCGCAGCACAGATATGAGACAAAATCTCAAGATTTTCTTGATTTTTTTTTTAAAAAACAAAATTTAATCTTGCATTTTTTATAAACATTGGAAAAACTTTTAAGTCTGGTAAGGTCGCTGTTGCATTATATACTCATCCCTTGCTGATGACTGTCCTCAGTTTATTCCTTGGTGTTTTTCTTTTTTGTATCCTTATTCTGACTGTTACCTTTTACCAATCAGATCCCTCTGAGGCATTTCATGGTAAAATGTCAGTAAAAAGTTGCTGAACTTTATTGGGGTTAATCAGAGGTCGTTTCAGCTTTTGCTGCAAGGCAAATGGCCCACTGTGAGCCTTTTTTAATCACATATAGCCACAGAAATGCACATCAGTATCATTGTTCTTTCAGCAGACAGATCATGTAAGGAAACAGCATCACATTTTAAGCTCTAAGAACTTTCTGGATCCAATCAGAGAACCCAACACAAACTAAGCAAGCAACCCAATCCAGTAATCGACCCACAAACCCAGAGATCCAGTGAGCAGCTTGACCCAACCAAGCCAGCCATCATCACTAACGCAGCTCCAACCAAACCTAACAAACTAAACCCAAACCAAAAAGAGACTAACTTTGTTATCATTGCATGAATCTCCTGCAACTTTCTTTCTGTTTGTCAAACTAAAAAGACCAACATGTTTCTGACCCCCTTGGTCCAGTTTGGGTTTCTTCTGTTATCCTGGATTCTTCCACTGCTGTTTTATTACTTGATGGAAATCCCTGATACCTTTTTTTTTGGATTAGTCGTGTGTTTCTTTGATGACTGTAACAGACTCCTTTAAAACAGCCCAGATGGTTTTATGTTATCACAGAAAACATGTCAGAGTTGCGATTGTATCGAGGAGCACAGCAGATTGTTTGGCTTTGGATGTTAGAGGTCTAGATGGATCAGAGTGATTCAGGAGTGTAAATCTTCTGGGACGGGTTAAGTGTGAATGGATTAGTATTCTGTGTTTTCATTGTGACTGTGAAGCATTGTAATCACTGAATCATCCCAGGCCCTGATGACTTCAACCTTATGTTGAGCTTTTCCTTCAACACTCGGGAATCTGCAACATCTGTTCTGACTTTCTTAGTTAATTATAAAAGTTTGATATTCTATAAAAAGCCTCTTGGGAACAGAACCAGACATTTGTTTTGACATAAGCAAGTTTGGACTGAAACCTGTTTCCCTCCTTGGAAGAGAAAACTTGCAACATGCTTCTCAACTCGGTGAAATTAAGAAACAAAGCCCATCTGCTGGGCCACGCCCTCTCAGCCCGCATACGTTTGGGTTTGTTTGACCCCAAAACATGGCCGGTTTACAATGACATCAACTTGTCAGAAAACACCCCAATGTCTGCTGGTGTTAGCGTCTCACTTTAACAGCCTGTGTTTTTCTCTTCCCAGAATGCTCTGCTGTCTCTCTGACACTGATGACATCATGGTAGTTTATTCCCACTAACATATAGCTGATGTTGTTGTCTGCCTCGCCCTGGTCTGAGTATTTCACTGAAGGTTTCATATAATTTCATTGGATAGTGTCAACAGCTGTCCATGCATAGTTGAAATAGTTCAGAATTCCTCTTAAAACACTTGAACCTAATTTTAGTAGTTAAAACACCAAATATGTTTGTATTTGTTGAGGAAAATATACATATTAATAAAAAAAATTACTTTCACACAGTAATGTGACCCAAATCATTTTTTTGCTCAATTCTCAACCTTCTTCAAAAAGCAGAATATACCTCATAAAATGTCTTCAAATATTTTAGTCATCACCATTATGGTCTTTCTTACGCGCACATTTTTTATAGTACAGTTCTTTATTACATTGGGAAAATTTTACCTGAGGGAATGGTTCTTTAAAGTCCTAACTAGGTTTCACTTACAGCTTTAAAATGGAGATATTTTAACCCAAAGTGAGGTGTTTTGAGAATAATGATGAATGTCAGAAATTCTCAAGCTGATTTCTCATCTCATCAGCGATTCTTCCTCTTCTGAAATATATTTCTGGTTAAATTGCCATGAATAGAATTTAAACAGTTTCATTGAATTCCATATATTCAAACTATTTCATTTTTTACTTTCTGCCTCCTGATGGGTTTTTGGAAAATAAATAATCTGTGTTTGGATGGAGTGAGGATGAGGACTTTCACTCCCTCTGCAGACAGACAGGCTCTGTAGGAGGTCCGTTCATTTCTTTGACTCAGTGACTCGTCTTAGTTTTCAGGCTCTCTGGGAAACTGGCAGTGACGTTTATGATCAAACAATCTTATCAAAAGGTGCTTTTAAATCATCCTACACACTTGGAATCACTTGTTTGACAGTTTTTTAGCAATTTTAATCTTAATTACCTGGAACTTAATTTCTTGTGACAACAATAAATCACATTGTATCACCATAATTGATAAACAATGCAATAAATGCATGGAGACTTTTTAGTTTTTAAATCCTTTTCCCCAGTTTATTTCTGGTTGGGGACGAATGCTGTATATATGTTCCCATGCTGCTCACCATATGATGACTCCTCACCAAAAATAGCATCATGACGACATCGTTTATCTGCTGGAGAGCCAAAAGGAAACTTGTAGACAGACTGCTGGAAATGCAACATGTTGCTCGAACACAAATGTTCCTGTGGTAACCAGAACCAACAACACCTCGTTTCTGTTTCTGCAGCCCGGCGGTGGAAGTTGTTTCCTTTCTTCGGTCCCCCTACCTCCACCCTCCATCCATTCCTTTCCTCTTGCTCAACACGTCCCTTTCCCAGCCAATGGAAAGTCCGAGCGGAGCTGTGGGGAGACAATGGTCTTTCTGTAACCACCACTGGTATATTTGTGTGGTGGAGGGAGTGGGAGCCAGAATGTGTGTTAAACACAGTGTACTGCTCTCCAGAGGTTAATTAACCCACTTACACTGAATCCTATAGAAGCAGGGCTCAGTTCCTGCTTGAAAATGCACAGAGCCGCTGTAGCTGAGAAAAAGTAAAAGAAGCAATTGTGAGCAGTGAAAAGTCAAAGCAGATTAATATTAGAGCTACTGGCAAAGATGGGGAAATCTACAAACTTGGTATAAATTATGAAGACTGTTTAAACAAGCCAAACGTGTTTTCTTTCTGCCTCAGAGTTTGGAGCGGAAGGTTTCTCAGGACAGAGTTTCTCACATGGAGGCTCCTTCAGGGCAGATCAAAACCAGAATCAAGATCAAGGTCCAGCTCCAGGTATCGGCTTCGCACAGGATCCGGGATCGGGTCCAACAGGCCCCCCTGCATCGAACTACAACAACATCCAGATCCCACCAGGGGCCCACGCACCAGCCAACACTCCGGCAGAGCTGCCACCTCCTGCAGGTACACTAAACACCCCAACACCTGCTGAAGGTTTACACTCCCACCAATGAATCATATCCAGTTATGTTTCTCTATTCTACTACAAAATTATGCACAACATTTCCTTCCTATTATCTTGATATCTGAATACAGACTGAAGCTGAAAATACAGAGACGGAATAATACCTGGCTGGCGTTTGCATCGGTATTAACGAGTGTATTTAGAAAATACTTGACTATTTATGAATTTCAGCGATGAGCAGGCGGCTGTGACCCCTAACCTCTGTGAATACCAGAGGTTGTTTTCCTGGAAATTCATTCGTCCTTGAGATTTTAAAAGAAACGTAATAATATTAGGCGGTTTTACTCCTTTTCGAGTGAATCAAGTCTTAGTTGGAAAGCTGGGGCTGTTTGGTTTATTCTAAGTTGATGAATCAGATTTATTAGAGATCCTGCAGGTTCTCTCCTTGGGTTACTGAATATTTTTGAGAGTCCTGTGTCTCTTTATTGTTTCGGTTTCTTAGAGACAGGATGTTCAGGTGAGGTTTTCTTTTACCTTTGACTCATCTTTTATCTTCAATTTGATCTGTTTCCTGGTTTTTTTAGGGTCTGCTCATCATACTTATGTGTGCAGATTTTATAATATTTTGATTACTCTGACTTCAGTGTTTATGTGAGTTCACATGTCAGGTATTGCCTCATCCCAAGCTGGAATTGATTCACTCGACCAAGGAATAAAAGAAGGATCGTGAGGCAGTATTTCCAGGTTTTTCCTGTTTTTCATGTACCAGCAAAAGAAACTGCATTGTAAATTAATGAGTTTAATCTGTTTTCAGTTTTCTGGCATTAGAGTTAATATTCCCTCCACAGAGACTCTTCAGCAAACAAGTGTGTGTTTTTATGAAGTTGAAGAGGTGGCTCTGCAGTGAAAGTTGTTTGCTAAATATTCATTGCATTATTTCCAGTCATTGGGTGACAGAAGATGCAGTTTGGTTTCTGAAGACAAAAAGATTCCTGAAGAACTCCTGCAACACACATGTGAAAGAAGCTTAATTTATCTTCCCATCAGGCAACATTTGACATCCGCTTTAGCTAAAGAGAACAGCTTTCTGCACAGTGAGCTGGCACAAGAAATGCAAACACTCACTTTGCTGAGTTATTGTCTGGCTGGCATCTCGTCAAACATGTCTGCAGAGACAAATTGTTGATTAAGATTAAAGAGGGTCAAAGGTAAACGTGGAGCTCGTCCAATCACTAAGTGCTGACAGACAAGGTGTTTCTGAAAATGAGATGGATGATGAACTGTTTTGTGTCCCTTGAGGCCCTCAAAAAGGACAAGGTGTCTTTTTGTGCATTAATTTAGAAAATGCAGTTCCAGAAAAGGATTATCCAGGTTTTTCATAGATTTGTTGTTTTTCACAGCATTCAGGTTTACAGAAGCACAGGAGGGAAAGGAATCACCGACAGGGATTTAAGTATATTTTTAATTGCAGTGAATTACTGCCTATTTGCTGATTTTCTGTGGAATGTGACTTTTAGTTATTCATGGAAATTGTTTATTTTTGTTATAATGCATATCTAAAATGTTCTAAAGAAAATAGGCAGTTAAATGGTTTTAACTTCTAAAGTTTTCCTGGATTTCAGCTGTTGGTAAGTTAAAAGTGAAACAAGTGTAGCTTGTTTGGAAGTGTTAAAGGAGAACGTGTATTCTCTCCCAGCAAAATATGGCAAAATTGTATCCTAAACAGCAACAAAACTTGAGGAAAAATGTTATTTAGACTGATAAGATCAAAGCGGGGATGTATTTAGGGCATATTAGCTCCAAAAATCACCTCTGACCAACCGACAGGCACAGGAAACCGCACAGAGCCTAAAAGCTTTCACACCTTTTAGAGTTTTTAAGTTTGAATAACAACAAACTTAATTTCTTGTGATTTTATATGCGAGACCAATTGTTCCAGAAGTTTTGAAGTGAAAGAAAAATGAGAGATTTTGGGATGTTTACCAAAAGAAATAGCCTGTTTTTGTTTCAGTCCTGTTTATTTTCATTCCTCTAGTCATTGACTAGTTAGTAAACTAGCTAATGACATGTTAGTAAAACTAGCTAATGACTCGTTAGTAAACTAGCTAATGACTAGTTAGTAAACTAGCTAATGACTAGTTAGTAAACTAGCTCGTTTACTAACGAGCTAGTTTACTTCTTAGTAAGCTAGCTAATGACTCGTTAGTAAACTAGCTAATGACTCGTTAGTAAACTAGCTAATGACTTGTTAGTAAGCTAGCTAATGACTAGTTAATAAACTAGCTAATGACTTTCAGAGTTTCATTAGAGAACAATATGAGAACCAAGAAACACAGCAAATAAGACCAACACGAAACTGTTTGGCTGACATGGAAAACTAAACATGCAGTTTAGTTTTTGGTGAACCCTGGTGGTGGCACCATCATGCTGTGGGGTTTCTTCAGCAGGAGCAGGAGGGTCAAAGTTGGCAGAAAACTTGTTGGGCCTGCAAAAAACCTGAGACTGGAGTGGGAGCTCAGCTTCTAATGTTATTTAGCAGGAGCAGTGTTTTCACCCAACTGTTTGAAAACCTTTTTAACTGGTTACTTGGTGATGGTTTAGTGTTTGTCTTTGTTGTCCAGGAGAAGCTGGTAAACCAGTCGCTGCTGCCCGGTCGGTTCCTGCTGTTGACCCGTCACTGCTCAACGCCCAGCAGCAGGGTAAGGATAAAACACACTGATACTGCAGTTGGTTTAAAAAAGGTTTGTTACGTCAACTGTCTGTCCTGAATGATTCAATTCATGTTATAACAACTGTGGCCTTGAAACATTTCCGTTTCAAACTGGAAAAGGCTTTTATTCACATGGAGGACGTGACCTTCAGCCGAACAGGAAACAAACATAGCAAACTAAAACGCAGAAATAGTTGATCTGAGGTTAATTTGATTGCAAGTTTGTGCCTGGAACAGGAACTTGGTCAGACAGCAGGAGAACCTTTAACGTCAGACTCATTTTTAGATGACATTTAGTGGCTTTAAAGTTTCACCTTAACCTCAAAGGATTAAGATTTGACCTGTAACAGCTGCAGCATCAGAGTCTTAGTTGAGGGATTTAGTTTCATTGACTAAATCATTTTTAAACTGCTGCACAGGAAGTAGAGACTAGAGTGTAACCATCCATCAGTGCCTCCTGACAGGAGTTTGATTTTAAGATGTTCTGTATTTTAAATCTGACCTCAGAAATAAAGTCAAAGTGGGAATTTGAGAGAAACTGAATAATGCAGTTCATACAAACCGTGTCATAGTTGGACTCTTTGCTGGCCCAGTCACTGACTTTACATTCGATAATCATCCATTTTATTCAGCAAATCTGCCCTGAAACATGAAGAGAATCATATCCATATGGAAAGCCTGAAATGCCAAAAATGGGCCACATAAAAACAGTTTTAAAAAATCAATAATCATTTATAATGTAGTTTTCTGTTTAACTGCTTTTTGAAACAAAACATAGGAAAGTATGGAAGGCTATTTCTGCCAAAAAAGAAAAGATAAAAGTCTTACAGAAAGTCAGTAATGAAGTCATTATGAAGTTTTACGTAATGCAGCGGCACAATTTGAAATTACAACGTAACTGTCTTATTCTCGTAATTATGACTAAATCTCTAAATTATTACCTTGATACTTATAACGACTTGAAATTAAAATCTTAAAATTAAATCTCAAAATGCTGACCTTTTCTCGTACTGATGACTTTTATTCTTGTAATTCACTTCGAACGTAAAAATTCATAATTATCACTTCTCAACGCTCTCAACTCAAAATTATTTCTGCCATCCGCCCCTTTGTCGTTTTGACTGACCAGCAGCTGGTGGCGAGCCTCACTGAGGGCTAGTGGTTAGCGTGGAAACGCTAACCACTAGCTGCTGCTCTGAACACCAGCCATAGGTTTTCTGTAATTTACAGGCTGTAGAGCTGAGCTCTTTCAAAAGGTGCTAATTTACCAGTGTTTGTTTTTACATCTGTATAAAAGCAAACTTTTTTCTTAAGCCTTTATGAAATGTGACCACATGAAAACGAATCAGATTCCAGTTTGGCTCCAGTCAGATATTTGTTCAACCTTTCAGAAGTTGATAGTTTTTAAAACTGGTGGTTATTAAAGATTTGAGGCTTTTTAAAATATTTCTTGCCACTCGGCTCCTTATAGAGCAGCGGTCTGCACCCTGAGGCTCTTTGGCCAGTCCACTTTTACAAAACCAAAAGAAAATGGTTTCTTCAATGAACCCAATAAGAAAAGATCGTTTTAGATTTTCTGTAAGCTCTTCTGCAAAATCTGCATGTAACGTCTGCAACATTGATTTAAAAGCAAAAGGAGCTTTAAACTTTGCTTCCTAGTTTACTTTATTTTCCATATTTATAGAAAAGGTTTCCCTTTTCTATAAACAAAGACTTTCTACCAAATGCTTTTTAATAAAAATCTATGAACAGGCATAGATCATTTTATTTGGTTTAAGAGAAATCAGAAAAGACATAATGGATGAAAAATTCACCCCAAAATTCATAACCACAGCAAAATTATTGCAATAAAACATTCAAAGTTGTTCAGAGGAAGGTTAAAACAGTTTAACTGAATAAGAATATAGTCTTAAAAATGTTAATGCAGCGTTAAGCAACAGGTGGGAGAGGGGGAGTCTGTCACTCTGCTCCATGCAGAAGAGGAAACTCCTGTCACTGGGAATCATTTACAATAACAGTTTTAGTCATTGTTGAGAAGTAACCCTGAATATAACTAATGATCCCAGCACAGAAGTTTTAAATCGCCTCATTAATCTTTAGTTTCCTGCACAATTTGTGGTTTTCTGTTCTTCCAAAAGAGTTGGAAAAAGTCAGACGTAAAGTACTTTAAGACATGCGGTTTGATCAGGAACAACAGGATAACAGCATGTTTACAAAACTGGCTCAGGATCGTCGGAAATGTTGCAGCCTGTTGGTGAGGAGGCAGAATGTGAAGCAGACGCACCAATCAGTTTAAACTGCTTCCAGAAAAATCTCATTTACATGACTGAGTCAACATTTTTCTGTCAAATCACACCAGAGCACACACACCAAACATATTTATTCCCATTATATTTAGTCTGTGACGTTTTCAAAGTGGAGTTGAAGTGTCTCTTTAACCCATAAAGCTTTACTTGTGTGGCCAATAGAAGGTTCCCACATTCACGGTTTAATAGTTTTTTGGATTAAACTCACAGTTTTCACTGCAGCCTTTTCAGGCTCAGCTTCCAGTCTGCATCCGTCGTTGTGTCCAACGTTTTTCTGAAGAGAAGGAAAGTCACCATGAGAACCAGGAAATCTCACTTTTTCTTCATTTCATGCCAATATTTTCTGTGGTTGTGTCCAAATTCGGAAGTGATCGCCTAAGAAATTAAATGGTTTTATATTTATTCCCGTCCACACTTTGGTTTATGTCCTGTCACCTAGCAACCGTGATTGTCCTAAACACCAGCTCGTAAAACTTTTTTTGTTTTTTTATTAAGCAATTAATTCAATTCTTGTTTTTTTTTTTACAAAAATATATTGTAAAAATATATATATAACTAACATGATCATTCCAGCTTTTAATTTTTGTTGCACCAGATTCACTTTTTGTAAAATTCTATAGAAATCCAATTTTTCTCAAATGTTTGAATGTTTGGCGCTAAAGAAAGTTTGGTTTTCTGGTGCCAAACTCGTAGTTCTGCTCCTTGCTGAGCCGTTTGAAGGTTAGTCTCGCTCACTTTTCAGCCTAAAATAGCCTGAAATGACAGTTTGAAGTCGTCTTAATGACAATGTATTTCTCTGTAGATTTGTTTCACCTGCTCAGCAGAATCATTACCTGCATAGAGAGGTGCTAGGATTAATTTACACAGTTTGGATGAAATCCAGAGTTACCTGCTGAAAAGCTGAAGAAACTTTTTCCTTGCAGAGTGACTTTAGGCGTGAATGATCCAGGCCGCTGCCCTTTAGCCTGACTGCTGGTACAATTAAAAAGAATCCACCTGTTTGAGGAGCACATTAAGCTCCGGTCCAAGATTTTTAAATGAAGAAAAATGGGTCTCATTGAATCTAATTTAAATGTGTGTAACAGACTGGGGAGAAGAAGCCAATTACGCTGTAAGGATGTGTTTTCTGTTCAGCTGCCCAGTGTGGACTCTCTGCAGGGGCTCTTTACGGCAGGAAAACAAAAACTTTTATTTAATTAGAAGCTTTTTCTTAAAGTGACTTTTGTTGCTTCTGCTCTGTTCAACAAAACTTTAAATTATGTTAAACTTGCTTCCTTCAGTAACTCTTTTCTTTAATGTTATGCCTTCCATTACCAAGGACGCCTGAACACGTTACTGATCGTTGGTGATTCAAAGAAACTGAGCTTTCATATTTGATAGGACAGTTTTAAATACTTTTTTATTTCTGAGCCCCATTTAATCAAATTCTAGTTTGTTATCTTAGGAAGTCCGGTTCATTTTGGGAGGTGAACCGAACTCTGGTTTTCTCGGTCTCTGTTCGGTTGAAGTGAACTCTGGCGTACATGTGAACACCACGCAGACCAAAAGCAGGAAGTGGACTGCAGCGGAGGGCATTCTGGGTAAATACAATCAAAAGAAGGGCACTAGTCTCGAGCTAGCTGGAGAAATGGCTCATGATCTTTCTCTAACAAAAAAGAGAAATCCCATAACGCTGAGATTAAGCAGCTATAGTTTTGGTTGGAGATGTTGTAATGGTCATGCTGGAGGTTCTTCAAATCCCACCGGTGTTTAAATCAGCATCTTTTAAGGCTGGTAGGAACATTGATTCACATAATTTAACAGCAAAATTAAAATGTGGTCGGTGATGCAAACTGCTCCTTCTGGGGAGAAAAGTTGGTGAAAAATTCCCTAATTTGAAGTTTGATACATTTTTGTTTTTATCTTTCTAATATTTCTGGTTTTCCCTTCTGAAATTCAACTTGAAAATATATACCACATAGTTTTAGCTCATGGGAATTAATGTAACGATGAACTGAAATGATAAACAATTTTGTAAGAAATCCAACATTTAGACAGCCGAGTTGCCACAATAAACTGCATCTTGGTTTTATCATCCATCCCTTTTATTCCTTCTGCTGATTCATTATTCCCTGAAATCCTCTCCTCCTCGTGATCTCTGGTTTCTGGCTCATTGCTTTGCAGACTTTTTCTATTAACTTTTCCATTTTTTTTCCTTCTCTGTCTCAAGCGATTCCCATCCTTGGGAATACACAGTCAGCACATTTTGTCGGATAATCAGACGAGGGATTAGAGACTTATGGTTCAATGTGATTTCCCTCGTTAACGTTGTAAGAGAGCAAAAGAGCATATTTTCTGAGCGCCGTTTAACCAAGAGATATAATCTGTCGCTCTGCTTGTTCAGCTTGCTCTGCGTTTTAGAAATATCACCCAGAGACCTTCTCCTTGGTCTCTAACGGCTCCCACTAATCTCACCTTTAAGTAGAAGAATCATTTGGTGATATTATTTTATTTAATGCATATTAACTCTGGGTGAGAAATTGTTCCCATCTGTGGATTTAAATAAAGTGTTGAAGTTACTGCTTGCTGTGGTTTCTACACCCCATTACATACTGCTGAGCTCAGTTTTTAAACCAGCAAACCTGAGCTCATAATCACTACACTTAAAGCTACTGAACCCCCTGAACTTCATGCTTTCTTTCTACCTTAGAAACCACTGCAACAGGAAACAATGCTTCACTCATTTATGTCTCGATTTTCAGGTTTAAATGGAAACTAAAACCATTTTTAACCGTAGAGGACAAAATGTCATTTCATCAAAACCATGTAAACCATCACTGGCTGCACGTCTCTGTTTCCATTTAAAGTTGATTTAATTTAAATAAAGTGAGGCACACTATGGGAACATAAATCATGGGTTGCAGACATTAAACCGCCCCACAAGGCGAACACAGACGTGATGAAGACGCCTTGTCCTGCATCCTCTTCGTCAGTATGCCAGTTTTCAGCTCTGAACTTCTCTACTCAGACTTTTAATGTATTCATGTTTGTGCCTCAGTGAGGCTTTGCTCTTGTCCATTCTCCAAGCGCACACCCACAACCCTTCTGTCGCTTTCTTCCCAGCGTATGCACAAACCGTCACGTCCAACTTCCTGTCAGGTTACAAAAAATCAGAGCCTTTCGCTTCCCAACAAAACAGACGATGATTATCAGAGGCAGAGATGAATGGCAACCTGGAGCTTGTTCTTTCCCAGAACGTACAGAATATTCTCTGACATCACTTTAACATTACCTTCTCATGCCTTACGGTTCACTTTCCCAGAATTTACAGACTTTCCAGGAAATCACTTTACTTTTTCAACCTACAGGTCTGGAATTACCTGGTTACTTTCTCACATTCAGGTTATTTTATTATCACACAGGTTCCCTTTGAGTCACTGTTTTGAACTTCAGATGTCAATTTAGCACAAATTAATCATTTGTTGTTCATTTAGTTACTTTCTAGAAACTAATAGGTTACTTTACTCAAACTGAAGTTACCTGCCTGAGTATCTGAGGTTAGACCTGGATTCCTTCTGCAACCTTGCAGGTTCCTGTCTGAAAGTTCAAAGGTTATTTTCATGAAACTTTGTTATTCTTGGATCTCTGTGATTAACTTGAAGAAACCAACTTTTCTGTTTTCAGGAAAATCACTCTCAGGATCCAAGGCTTAAGATTTAGTTGTTTTTTTAATAAATGTTTAAAGAGAACTACAGACTAAATAACGTTTTAACCGAGTGTTTCTGTAAAGTTAAGATACTCTGGATAAAGTGAAGGGAGAGAATCTTAAAAGCTTGAAATACAGGTTCATTGAGGATTTTTGTTATTTAAACATTACAAACAGGAATCACATTTTAATAGGAATCTCATTTTCTTTTCTGAATCAATGAAAGGATTACAAAGTAACACATTAATCTGCGCAGCAACTTAAACTGAGTTTTTCTCAGACTCAGCACTTTAACACTCAGAAGTTTCTCCCTCCGTTTCGCAAAGCGCCAGGCTGGCTTATTAAACGTTATTCCTCACGACGCATTAGTATGTTATCATTTTGCGTGTCACTCGTTTTATGGCTTGGAGACGTGCAGCTGTGCAGATGGTTGTGTTGGATATGCGGAGCGAGAGCCGTCCCACGCGGCGTCTCGGGTTCTGTTTGGACGGCACCGCGCCGAGGCCCGCTGAGCCACGGGTCGAGTCAGGAGTTTCCTCTGGGGAGGAAAAGACAGATTGAGGAAGGGACACCAGAAATGTACTGGAGGAATTAAGGTTTTGTAAAACATTTCTTGTAAATCCCCAGGAAACATCTGAATAGACCTGATAAAATGTGCAGCACGTATTTCATCCAGAGTTTTAATTTCCTGGGTTTAGCTTTTGTTTTCAATACTTGGCTGGAACATATTTTTCGAACCCAGAGTTCGACTGCATGAACACACTTAGAGAAACCAGTAGACAGAAAATATGACAAGGTTGAGAAGGATATTGGATTAGTCCTAAAGCCGGATTTTTACATTTGCCATTAAACATAAGTTACTTAGTACTTGGGCATTATTCTGTATTTAGCTGTTGCTGAAACGTCATAAAAATGGATGAGGAGACAGTTTGTTACGGCTGAGAATGTCCTGATCATTAAACAAACAGATTTTAGGACCTGGAGGCATTTCACTAAGCAATTAAATTAACTTCTGTCTCACTTTTTATAGATGAGTCCATAATGATTTTAATGACAACTTCTATATCAAATATGACTAATACAAATATAAATATGCTGCATTTACTCCCTGTGCTCACACAGCACCGTTTCCTGCATAATGTGTCATTTAGTCACACACTGTAAATCAAAGTTGGGATGCAGTAACTGATACAAAGTTGGTTATCTAAATAATCTGTAACTCATTTTATTGTCCAAGGAGTTTCTCAGTGCATTTCAGTTATTACTGCAAAATTTAGACAAATCTTTACTGCCTAGTTTTCCAACTTTTTCTGGATTCCTGCGTTGGGAAGGAGGCAGTTTGTGCTGCATGGCGTTCCGCCCTCCTTCAGGCTGAGCCGCAAACCTCGAGGGAACCTGCAGGGTGGAGGGAGAGCAGCTTAATAAGACACAGATACACAACATATACAAAAAGTAAGACTCTTAAATCTTGCTTAAGACTTAAGAGTCTTACTCTTCAGCATGGAGTTCAGCAAAGGCCTGCCAGCGACTCATTGGGTATCTTATAGCAGGGATGCATCTGAAGGCTGCAGGCAGCTGTAAAATAAAACGGAACGTTCAGAGTCTGAATTCGCTCCATGCTGACTTTGTTATGAAATAATTCAGGTCTCTCCGATTAGACGGGTTGTTGTGGAGGAAAGATAAGCACGGTAATGTTACGGCTGGTTACAGTATTTACTGAAACTGCCTATTAAAACTCTTTGATCTCTCACACGTTCTGTGTTCCTCTTATCAAGCGATTTAGAAACTTTTATCACCAAATGATTCAGAAGAGGGAGTTGGGTAGGTTTGCAAATACAATGTCTGCTACAAGGACTAATGAGGAGTGAAAGACCTTGGCATCTCTCCAGGTTGGTTTTGCTTTTTCTCCTCCAAACATCTTGTGAATAGATTCAGGTTTAAAGGTCTCATTTTTCCGGTACATTTCCGCTTCTCCTTTTGCGTCCAGTTTAAGACTCCAGATCTGCTGCGCGGTCTCTTGCAGTTCACTGGGATAGTTCAGACAATGAGATCTCATTTTCTCATCTCATCTTAAGGGGAGAAAACCCAAAGACAGGAGATCCAGAAGGATTCACCTTCATCTGATGCGGGAACATCTAAACAGATTACCAGACTAACCATGAAGACATAATCATATTTAAGCAGAAAATGGGTGAATTTATCCTTAACTAGGCAATTTAAAGTGAGGGTGCATTCACACCAGCACTGTTCGCTTTAATTGAACTCTAGTTCAGTTCATTTGGGGAACTGAACTTTGGTTTGTAATCGAACTGATTCGCCTACAAACTTAGATCCCTGTTCGGTTGAAGTGAACTCTGGTTCTGTTCAAATGAAAATGTCCAAGTTGATTTAACATTAACTGAATGAATTACCATTTAAATTTAAAAACACAGTTGAATATTTTCCCTTTCTTATTGTGTTTTGTTGATTCTTGGCTGTTAGCTAGAAGTAGATTTGTCTCCTCCTCTCTGCCTGCCATGTATTGACTGTAAAGTGATCCTGGTCCACTTTGTATTTCCATCTGCAGCCTTTATGTCTGTAATCAGGACTGATTGCTCCTCTTTTCACCTCTAATTGGCTCACATTAACGTCTGATCCCCCTGACTTCCTCCTCTGATCATTCCTTCCCTTCCTTCCTCAGGTGGCGTTCAGCTCTCCCCTGAAGACTTCACCAAGGCGCAGAAGTACTGCAAGTACGCCGGCAGCGCTCTGCAGTACGAGGATGTCGGCACAGCCATCCAGAACCTCCAGAAAGCCCTGAAACTCCTCACCACCGGCAAAGAATGAACTCTTTGTCTGTCTCCAGTCTGACTCCTCCTTCCTCCACTCCTTTTCTTCCATCTCAACCCCCACCACTTTTCCTCCCCTCTATCTGTCTCCAATCTGGTCCAAAGTGAGCCGATGGCCACTCTCGAGCGTCAGGCGAGGACGCGATGGAAATCAGACGGAACAATGGTGGCCTGTGTCCACCGCCGCTGCAACTGACGGGACAACTGACCAACCGACTGCAGGACCTGTGGACTCAAAGCCTCGTTAGTGACTCCCTCCAGCTGGTAACGAGCTCATCCTCCTCGCTGTGCTTCGTATCGATCTCAGCTGGTTCAAAATAAAGAAGACCGAAAACAACATCTGTAGGTCCAAAACTCCAACTTGAGTTTGTGTCATTTTATCAACTCAGGCTTTTTGTCACCAGAAGTGATGTCAGTCAATCTCCCCAGAAACATAGGAATGAACTCACTGATGATGGACTTTGTGTTTTAGAGCTTAGGTTTGATCCATGAAGCTCTTTTATTTTTTATAAACCTACAAATATCAGTTTGGATGAATAAATCCTGTAATTCCTGTCAATAAATCGTTCCACAGCTGGATCATTTGGTCCAAACTCAAATTATTCAATATCAGCATAAACAAAACCCTTATTTTGGCTGAAGTTACTTATCTGAATTTAATCAAACGACTTTCAACGCTTCATTGTGACTTAAAGTTAGTTTTATATTCCTGTTTATTTTCACAGTAATTCACAGTTTAACAGGTGATGGGATTTGATTGTAAAAACTGAGGATAATCCTTTTACTGCTGGAATACTTTACCTGGAATGTTTGGCACATTAAATTAATTTAAAGACATTTTTCTCTTAGTGCTGTTCATTTTATGCTAGTTTCCTTTTCGGGAACCTTCACCCTGCTGACTATTAGCATCACTGTTTGCTTGATTTCTCAGTATGAAAGCCGAGACTCGGAGCTTATGGTTGCAAACTGATGCAGTGACAACAAAACAAAACTTTTTAAGCTCAGCTGTGCAGCCAATGTTTCTCAGGTTTTAAGAAATCTTTCCAGTCTTATTTGAATATTCACTGCTGAACTGAAGCCTTTCAGCACCTGATAATGGCCTCGTTGTTGAATGTTAGCTCACAGGTACTAATAGTTTGTTTTTTGTTTGGTTTTTACACCTGTATGTTGATTTAACATGCTACTGTAACATTAGTCTTTACCTGCTAATAAACATCTTGGTAGATCTTATCTGATCTTCACAATCTGTTAATATGAGAATGAAAACTTCCTCAGCTTCGCTCCAAATGTCTCATTCATCACTAGAAATTTGTACAATAAAGGTTCAGAGGCTGTTTGAATCATTTGGGAATTATTTCAGCCTGCTAAAAGTAGCTGCAGAAAGCTGTTGCTACTTACAGACATGCCAACGTGATTTTTAGTCATTTTATACTACAGTAGGAAATTCTAATTATGAAGTTTATCCACAGTTTTGTTTGTAATATTCACTCATTTATTCCAAAGTGCACTAGAAATGAATGATTTGATCCAGTAACAGTAAAGTACTGAGGTTGATGGAATGAAGTTTAAATGCTTAAATGAGCTTTAAATGAGTTTTGTCATCTTCTGACAGCGATGTCGGATTTGAGAATCTTGAGAAGTTTTTTCATTGCAGGAAGTTTGTAACGTTTGAACCAGAAGTCACTACAAAGTGCTGGAAAACTGGAAGACCTGCATAAATACCAGGCAAAGAACTGCCCATGAAGCCGGATCCTGCTTCATCTGCAGGTGAAATCTGTGACCTCTGACCCTCATCGTATAGACGTCTACAGCGCAGGCTGAAGGTCACGGCTTTAAGATACCAGTAGAATCATAAAAGCTGCAGAATGATGCGACCCAGATGTTCCTCCAGCATTCAGCCTCCTCTCCCGGATCCGGTCTGAACCAGAACAGATCTGAGATCAGGTAAACCGTCCGTTCTTAAACTTCACTAAACTATAAAATAAACTCCAAACCAGTTTACCTAACAGAATTGTTTCAGATTGGTGTGAGTTTTTCCTCTCTTTGCGTTAATGAAGGAGGAATGCACATTCAGCTCATAATGTGATTCATGTATTTAAAGAGGAGGCGTGTGGTTTCAGTTTGGTCAGGGACTCTGCAGCCATGACCTCAGCCTGGTCAGAGGAGAGCTGTGGTCAGATCTGAATCTGTCGGGGTTTCAGAAACTGCTCTGAGCTTTTTACACAACACTCACAAAACCTTACGGATAATTGGCTTTCGGCTGAATTTTATGGAAATAGTAAAAAGTTCACACTGCAATATTATGTTATGAAACGGGCATTAAAGTGGGAGCAGCAATGCTGATGTCGTCTCAGCCAAAGGGTTATGCTACAACAAAAAAGATCAGTTTCTCAGTAACGCATCGTCTGATTTTGAATATCGTTTATATTTGACAGTAAAGTCTCTGCAGGCGGAGCTGGGATGTTTCTCTCCAGCCCAGTTTGGTTCTTCTAATCAAACTGGTTCATGTGTCTAGAAGGTCTGGTGTGTCTCTGGTCTGACGTGAATTCAGACCGGAGAGCGCTCCAAAAGCAGGAACCGGACTACAGCGCACGGCATTCTGGGTAAATAAAACAAATGTGAGGAATGTCTGTTGCCTCATCATGACGAGGTCGTGTTGATCAGGATAAAAACGATGTTCAAACACTGATTTTGATTAAACCCGGTCATTTAATGGTTGATTTTTGAATTTTGTTCTTAAGCTTCTCGTTGAGAACAGAAAGTTGGTTCAGAAACATTAAAAAGGCAGAAAAGATTTTAGACAAAAGTTCTCATTATGTCCACCCATAAAAATGTTTTTGGTGCAGCCTGAAATTTCACCAAACTGTCTGTAACTTCTTGAGTCATTTATGTTCAGGTGAATCTGAACTGGTTTCAGTTTTGGGTAATTAAAAAAAAAATGTTTTCTTCACATGATTCTGAGTGAATTATCTGAAGCGTCTGGTTTCCTTCAGTCTAAAAACAAGAATATAAGATAATAATTAGAGCTGCTTTCTCCTTTTATATATTTCCAGGTGGGATAAAATAGTTTTACTTTCCATTTTTCATTCTCTTTTCGTCCACTTTGGCCTCCTGAAGCGTTTTCTCTCCATCTGTTTGTTCTTACAGACTCTTCTCACCTTGTTTTGCTCCTGATTGAAGGCTAAACTGCAGCCTGAAGCAGAAACTGACGCCTTCAGTTCTGCTCACGTATAAAACCTCCAGGAGACCAAAGTAAGCAGAGTTACAGGAAACGCATGATGTCATGTTCAGGTCATTAAAGGTAGCTGCTCCGCGTTGGGGGATGTCATGGAAAATTTAGTATGCGTGACCTGAAATGCTTGAAGCACAACTGATCCTCCGATTTTAAACAAATCCCCAAAGTTAATCAATAGCACCATAGCAACCACACACAAATATTTTTTTTAAATAAGCATCAGTTTGCAGCATTTCTACTTCAGGATTAGGATTTCCAAAACCTCAGCTCCAGTCTGAGTTGCTCTTCTATCCTTTCATCCGTCATGTTTTTCTTTTCCGACGTTGAGCTCACAGTGAACCTGGGTCAAGTCAAAGATGTCACAAATATGTGTTTTAAGGCTGAATTGTTCTTATTTCCAAAGGTCTGCAGGTCAAACCTTCATCTTTAAATGTTCAAAATGATTTGTGGCTCCACTATTCATAATTATTTATAGTTTTAGCTTCACATATTTTAGTGTTGCAATGACAATTCACAGTATATTTTGCTGTAAACTAATCTGAGTTATTTGGAAATAATTAATTTGTCCTCTTGAATAAACCTGGTTTCTATTGACCATGCTATTGTGCAATTTGGCATTTTGAAAATAAATTCTCTTACTGTAAATGTGGAAAAGCTCTGGTTTATTTAGAAACATTTTTACATCACATGTTGCTTCAGGCACAAACCACAAAGAAGAAGAAACAGGAAGTGGTAGAGGCTTTTGGCCCTGCATCAATTTTAATAACTTATCACTTTAACAAACGTATTCATGGGATTTTAATTGTTTCTTATTTAATGAAAACGATGCATTTGTGAAATAGTTTTTATTTTTTCAGCATTAGTGGACTGTTTAGGTTTTGGACAATGAAGCTGCAGCTTGTGACATCACCGTTTCTGTTTTTCTGGCTCTTTTCTTACTGGTATATATTAGTGAGTTTTTCCTTTTAAAGTATTTGAACTGGATGGTTGAATTATTTTTGGTAATAATCTCCTGTACGTTGGAGAGAAGTTTATTGTTTTTGTTCCATATTTGTAACATTTTGCTGTTTGGAAACAACCAGTGCTGAATTTCCTCTGTTGTTATTTTAATACCTAAATTCATCAGGCAGGAAATAATTTTGCTTTTATTTTCAGTTGGCAGGTTTTATTCATTTTTGGACAATCAAAGACTGAGAGGAGAAGCATCCAGTCCGGCCTGCATGCTTCTCTTTGAGTTTATCTGTTTCCTGCTCAGGTTTTTTCTCTCTGTGACGTCAGCAGTGTCTTCCCCTCCACATGCTGATTCTGCTGCAGCTGACAGTTTCTCTGAGGCGCCTTTCACAGCCATGCAAATCCGTGCAGCATCCTGAAGCTCTTATCGGGCAGGAAGCTCCGACGTTCAGAGGCAAATGAGGCGCATGAGCGGCTGACCCCAGGCTGCACATCCATCTGCTCTGACGTCACTTTGTGTCTGGATGAGGCCGAACTGATGACATCATGATCCAAACCTGCTGATTCTGACCAGAAACCTGCTGCATGATCAGAGTTATCAAAATGAGAGAAATGAACCTCTTTAGGTTTTATTTTCTCCTGGAGGGTGAAACTGTTATTATCTAACTGTTCATCACCAACTGCAGATTCTCTGTTCATCTAAAATGCTAAGAAATCTCAAACATGAATGTTTAAGGAAATACATGTGAGATTTTTGCTTCTGGAATATGAACATGTGCAGCATTATTATGCTACAAAATAAAAATCCCACTCTTTTATTTTGAACTATTTAGATGAGAATTATGAACAAACAACTTAAAACCTTTTCATAAACATTTCGACACAAAAAATAAAGAAATCAAACCAATTACAGCATTTCAATAACATTTCAGTTTCTTCACAATCAGCTGTCTGCAGCAGCAAAATGCATTTTTAATTTTCTATTTTCAGATAAACATGGATGGATGTTTTTCTGTTTTCCCCTCCAGACAATAAAATCAGATCTAAAACCGTTTCTGGTGCTTTTATTTCAGTCATTATTTCTGGAAATTCAATGCAAATATAACTTTAGTGAATTCTGTTTTAATATGTTTTATTTTTACAATAGGCTATGAGATAACCTGGTGAGATGTTTTCATATTAGAATAATATTTTAATCAGTCACCCAAAAATATCGGATGAAAAGTGACGTAATATAAAATCCAGTAAAATCATATGAAGAAAGAAAATCATTTTTTAAAGTCATTTATTACAAGTTTCCCTGTAACCCCGCCCCCCCGCCTGTGAATCCGGGTCAAAGAAGCGAACGCACACCGCCCCCCTATCTTCCTCCTCCTCCTCCTCCTCCTCCTCAAACTTTGGAGACTTTTTGCGCCTCGCTCTGCGGAGACGCGTTTGGGATCTTGCTGGTTTGGAGTCTTTGTGAATTTCTTTTTCCTTTTTCCTGAAAGTTTGCGGACAGACAGAATGATCCTGCGGGGGGATCAGCCGCCGCTGCACTGACAACATGTGAGTGTTTGAAACTTTGCTTTTGGAGCTGGAGATGCTCCTGGGTTCGGCTCCTGGGTTCGGCTCCTGGTTCTGGGATTGTTCGGAGTTTCAGCTCCTTGATTGAATGCAAACTTCCAGCTGCTGCTGATCCTCAGTCGTGATGCGCGGAGCAGAAAATTTTTCCTCCTCTGATGTTTTCCACGGATCTGCTGACATCTGCACAATTAGAATCAGGACAGATCGAGTTTAAAGTAATCTACTAAATGAATTCAGTTTTTACTAAAGTCTTTGATGCAAACTGCATCCAGTTTCACTCAGTTTCATATATAGTCACTATGAGCAGTGAAACTAGATAATCACTGAGCTGTAACTTTTATTTCCTGTGGTTGAAATCCTGTTAAAATGCAGTTTTATTTCTCTACTTTAATCTGGAAACAAACCTCTGATGTTTTTTAAAGGACTGAAACAGAAAACCAATCAGGATCCTTCTGTGGTTTTAACTCAGAGGAGCTGAAAGTAAACAAAGCCTGGAAGATTCTTTTATTCTTTCATTTATTTTAGTCACTTATTGGAAAGTAAATAGAAATAAATTCCATCTGAAACTCGCTTCATTTTTAATTTCAGACTTAAATTAAAAGACTTGCTTGTCAACAACTTGAGGAAATGATCTCCAGTGAAGTTAAGAATATTTTAAGTCTCATTATGTTGTAAGTAAATAAAAAATATTAAAAGCTGAACTTCAACAATCCATCAGTCACCAGAAAAATTCACATTTTCCCTCAACTCTGAATGTTTGATGAAGCTTTTCTCATGTCACTTATTTGAACTTCAATTACTCGGCTATCAAATTTATGAAAAACGATTTATCTAAAGAAAAGGCCCGGATCGACGGCTCGGGATTCTAATTTCATTTTGTCTCGTTAAAATAATGAAGATTCATTATGATTTCAATAAATGAAAATGTTTGTAATGCATAACAGAAGGAGCTGATTGATTGAGCTCCATTCATCTCCCATCCGCCCTGACTGTCTTCCCCACAGCATGATGCGGCCACCACCGTGTTTCCCCATAGGGACGCTGTGTGAAGATTATTTTCCTGCCACATGTAGCTTTTAGTCACTTCTTCAAAACGCTCTTTTTTTCTGTCTGAGACCAGAGATTAAAATAGAAACATCTGGACTCTATTTGCTGATTAGTTTAGGCCTAAAAAAGCTTTTTGGATTTTATGTAGAGGTAGAATGAAAGTGATTCTTCTTCTTTGCTCTTCTTTGTGTTGGTCTTTCTGGTGACCAAATGGAAAATAGCTTCGAGGGACGTTGATTGTTTTTCATCAGCTGAATCAAATGTTCAGCTTCAAAACTGAAACAAAAAAACTGTTTCTGTCTTTCCATGTTTTAAAAATAAAGAGACACTTTTGTCTGAGTTTTATTGTTTATCCAAAAACATTTTGGGTTCTGCTGGCCTGAAATTCAGTTTCTGGAAATGTAAAAGCTGAGAACCGTCTCCGGTTCTGTTGTTTAGACATGAAACTCAGGTGACTGATCGGATTTCAGCTCATAAATTCAGAAAGTCCTGGATGTTCTGTGAAAGTTTTCAGTTTCTTTCCGTGGCGGTTGGATGATGGTGGGACGTCGACTCAGCATGTGAAGCAGCTTTAAATGTTCTGCTGGGTTTTTCAGCCGGTTCTGCTGATGATTCATCGTCTCACCTGTGACATGAAGGAAGTTTAAAACTTTGTTTCTTTATGTTTCTGGTATGGAATAAAGACATCATGGAGAAAATGGAGAAAACTGGAACCAAACAGTCTTCAGCCTCTTCAAAATAAGAGCATGGATTTGAAAGTCTGACCAAACCTTCAGCACAGACGTTTAAATTTATTCAACGGAGTTGATTTAGGGGATTCTAAGTGCTCTAAAGGTTTTAAAGTTAGAAAAAGCCATGAAGTACGAAACAAAAATGAGTTTTGCTTTTAGCGGATCAGTGAGTCCAAACATCTTTTCGTCCAGAACCAATCTGGGTCGTCCATTTTGGTTCGGCTGCAGATTCAAGTCGCTGAGTTTCTGTCTCCAAAATAAAATATCAAACTTTTACCGGATCGTTCCTCAGTTTAAAAACCTCAAACAATTTCCTTTAATCTGAGGAGGAATGTTAATTTATGTTGAGATTCTTCTAGAAGGATTTTCCCAACTGAAGATCCACATTAGTGATTTAGTATAAAATGTGACTTCAGGGAAGCTGGAAGAGTCGAGGTTCTCCAGTGATTGTTGCTCAACCTGTGAAGGTGAAGCGGCCTGAAGTTTCCTTCACGCGGCGTTGAATAACAACCCGCTGACGGGTCCAGGTGGACACACAGCTGATCCGTTCCTGGAAGACGGAGCTGGAATGTGATTTAATTAAACTGCAGGGGGAAAATCTGATCTCTGCACCTGCAGCTTCACTTTGATCCTGCTGACATTCAGAGCAGAAGAAGAAGAAGTTTCAGATGAAACTCCATCCTGACTGCTGGTTTACATGTTGGTGGTTTAAATGAAGCTTCAGCACCGAGAAAAAACCGTTTTCTGGTTTTAAACCGGCTGTGTCTCAGAGTCAAAACGCTCGCTGTGCGTTTGATTGTTTTGCCGTTCAACAGGATTTGGATTTTCTTACGTTTTGTATTTATTGCTCTGATTGCATCGTCTTTTCTGTTTCCTGATGCTTGAACATGGTTCAGTAAATAAAACACCTGCTCTGGTATTAACCTAATGAATGAATGAAGATCAGGTTAATTGTTGATTGATAAGCGGATTGATCAAACGATTCCTGGAGAATCGGTTGACTAGATCCTTTAAAAACATCGTGTGGTATTTTTAGACATGACCAGCTGCATTTTGTCTCTTAAAATCAAACAGTGACTCGTAAATATTTCTCCTTATTTTTGTATTCTGTGTAATTGGATGTTTTCCAGCTGAACATGGCCACACTCTCGTAATGTTTTATCAATTAATATAAACACCTCACTGAAATCTGAACAAGATTATTAAAGTACCAAATTGATGAATCAGTTGTTTAACAGGAGGTTCACCGTGTGCTCGTTTAATGCTAAAATTAGCACCAATTTGTCCAACCTGCATTTATGAGGCTATTTTATGACATGAAATAGTTATAAAATACATGAAAATAACACATTATTTTCATGAGTCATAAATATCATTTATTTTCATAAGTTAAACCTCCTTGTTCTTCATTTACCAACAAATGAGGCTCAAGTGCAGCTGATTGAAACTTGGCTCTGTCTTTGTCGTTAGATTTTATTTGGAAAGTCCAGTTCTTACAGATTTAATGAAGAAACAGAGTTTGCCATAATGTCGTTCATATCCAGATACTTTTCCCATTACATAATCTGCATCACATAAAAGCCCAAAATGTTTTCTGAAAATGTAAATGTTCTCATCACGATGTGAGATTATCACATGTCCTGCTTTGCCTGCGTCGGATCAGGTTTGCCTGTTTGTCTGTTTGTGTGGGAGTTTAACCAACAAGCATTCCAGTTGCATAACATCTGGGTAATGAAATGAATATGCAGCTCAGGGGGAAATCTCAGCTGTTTGGAAATGGAGGAGCCTGAAAGCCACCTTCACGGTGATGCTGACTGGACGGATGGATGGACGGATAGCAGACGGATGCAGCTCTTACCGATTCTGTTGGTACCAGTACTTTGCTTGGCCCGGCTCCACGCTCCGGTTTTGCTGACACCATTGGAAACATCTCGGGTCCATCATCGGTTTTGTTTGACACAAAGTTTCTGCTGCTTGGTGCTGATTCCTGCAGCAGCGACGCTGTCAACACATCTATTCATTTGGTCTCAGTTTGTCGTGTTTTGCTGTCAAGATGCCAGATCTTGTTCTAATCTCTGAAATTTGTCTTGATCTGCAGTTTGCAGAGTTTCTGAATCTGGAAATGTTTCTCTGAACTTTCACTGAGCTTCTCAATCTTTCTCCAGAAATCTTAGTTTTCAAGTATATGCAAACATAACCTCACAAGCTCGTTTTGCTAAATATTTAAGTTAGCAGAGGGATAAATTTACACTTGAATTTTTTTATTAACTTGAGGACTGTCGTCTCCCTCTTTCCCCCCATCTTATCGATGTCCAAACCCGGACAGACGAATCGTATCTCCAGCATGAAACGGCGCAGACGTATGAGAACGGACGTGTTTTGATTTCCCTGGCTATATTTGATCATTTTCACAAATTGACTGTTTTGTGTGAAGCTTAAATTCTCATATTAGCAACCGCTGACTCGGCATTTTCTGAGTCTCAGACTCTCAGTCTGCACACTGTAAAAAAATGGCTGTAAAATCTACAGCATGAAAATGCAGTGAGGCGGCTGAACATGCAGCTTCACGGTCATCTGAAATGCGTATGGAAAATATGTGTGACGTCATATTATGACTGTAAACATACCAGTTATGTTTTTAGATCAGAGTATTTTTCATTTGGTTGCAATAGTTTGATAATTTCTGCGTAACAAACAAATATTGTCGTTTCAAAATACTATATTTTGTTTTGCTTCAGTTTGTCAGATTTAAATTGACAATAAAAAAAAATATTTAAAAAAAAAAAATATATATATATATATATATATATATATATATATGAAATAAGTCACTTTGACTGTTTGACACGATGTAGGATGATCATCTTGACACAATAAATTTCACAGCCTTACTCAGAGCAGAGTGGGGCTTTAATTCAACCATAAAGTATCAGGGGTCATTCTGAAAAGAGCAACATTCAAACTTTTACAAGCGACGGATACCAGACACGTTATAAACACTGAAGATGATCTGCTCTGGAAACGTTTAAATTCACAACCGTTTAATTTCTCTCCTGGTGTGAAACCAGGAGCCGTGGGCCCCAAAATGTCTGCCTGGAGGCGGAGGGTTTGCCGGCTGCCATCCAGCCCTGCACACACAAAAACCTCCGTCTGTATGCAGCCTTGTTCGCTGACCTCGCTCCGCTCGTCATTTCCATACCGGAGGAGGCGGGGAGACGAGACGCATGACTTGACAAAGAGGCGAGTTTTCTTTAATGTCAGCAGCTGCATGAATTTTCAGAAGTGGATGCTGGAATTAAAACTGGAGCCTGTTCGCTGTGTTGTAAATATTAATGATCCATTTGGTGTGTTCCTGAGCAACACAGTGGCAATTTTCTCCTCGTTTTGCTCCAGAACCTGAATGTTTTCAGAGGATTTTTCTTTAAGCCACTAAATTCTGACCTGTGAATCATCCAGACATGAAAAGCTAAGAGGATTTAGATTTTCACTAGAAAATCTTCAGGGGATTTAAATGAAGAATGAATCTATGGAAAGCTCATTACACTGTGTGAAGCATGGTGGACAGTCTGTGATGCTGTGGGTTTCTCATTGGTTGTTCTCTGCATGGTTGAACTCTTTATAATGACAAGAGGTTCATCAGAACGCCGGGAAACTTTTAAGTTCACTTTACATGTTAACTATGAAATGATGGCTCATCATTTAATCTTTGTACAGAATAAAGATCCAAAACATCAAATCAACTTGGACATTTTCACCCAGATACAAAGTTGATCTTTGTTCATTTTCTCAGTACAAAATCAGAAAACTTGTGAGCTGAGATGGAAAGATCATAGATCTCTGGACTTTCTATGATTTTTAAATAGTAAATATTCTAGATCATTTTGTCCAGTTAGATGGAAAAAACTAACATTGAAAACATTTAAAAGCAAAATTCAGATTGTTGCTCAAATCCTCAAAAAGCTGAAATCATCTTGAGGTTCAGACAAATGAGATGTTTTCATTTTTGCTGTGAATGGATGAGAGCGAGTCTTGGTTGTTTTTAGCTCTGATGTTTCAGACAGTGACCGGATCTTTTAATGTAGAATAAAAGTCAAGGCTGAATCAAAAGGTCTGTTTTTTTTCTTTTGTTTTCTTTTTGTTTTTTTTATTTCAGTCTTTCTGACACGTGAAATATTAAATCCATATATTTCCATGCATTTCGATACGAAACTCTCCTGGTTTCTGAGGTTAAACACAGAAACCACTGAACATTAAGGTCTAACTTATAACAAACTGTTTGATTTGCTCAATCATGATCTAATATTGGTGATCATTTAGTGCTTTAGCATTTTTCCAAATTTTGAAAACACTTAGCGCTTTTAGCTTCCCCTAAATCAAGTTCTTTGGATTTTAATGTTTTGTAAACTTTAAGTTGAATAAAATTCAACATCTGTGAAGAGGTTATGTTTCGTATTCATGCTCTTATTTTGAAATATACCTACTTCTGACATAAAAAATGAAAGTTCAGGCTTCTGTTAAACCATAATGACTAGTTAAAGTTTTCACCTTTACCTTTGAACATTTACTGATGTTCATCACGGTTTTATTTCCTTCGTCTCTCCTTTTGATTCAGACATGAACATTTAAATTTGAAAAAATAAGAAAAATGTATTTTAAAGGTGTTTTTTTTGTAGTTTTGTTTTCCCCTGAGTTGAAGCATAAAAATGTTCCACTCAGTTCGTCTCATTAGCAGCTGGAACAGCCGTCGGCCTGAAACATTATGATGGCCTGTGGGAGCGTTTTGATTGGCTCCCTGGGGCCATGAGGAACAAGTATACGTTACATGAAGCCATAGTGGTTCTCTGAGATCCCTGGTCGCTCGTTTATTCAGTGATCGGTGGACAAAACAAACAACGTTTGAATATGGGAACATCTGTGTAGAGAGGAAATGTTTTTATCTGCAGCGGGATTCATGCTGCTTATCTCTGCTGTCAGTGACTGTTTGAGTTGGTTGAGGAAAATGTCAGGTTTCAGTCGTTCTTGCAACATGAATGATGCAAAAGGGAAAATGCTGCAACAGCAACAAGTATAAAACACTGCAATTTCTCTGCACGCAACAGAAGTGCTCCAGACCACTAGGGGGAGTCAGGGGCAGATAATATTACTTCAGAATGTGTAAATATTCTGAAGTTACGTAAAAATGGGGGGAAAAAAACATGTTTGAAAAAGGGTTAAAGTCCATCACACATCTTTCTTCTGGATATCCCATTAAATCATGAGTCTTTACCCACAGTTTGCTCATCTGTGGTTTAGTGTTCGACTCCCCCTGGTGGCCTGGAGGACCTCCGCTCTGTGGAGAGAGTTTGCAGCATTTTACACATGCTGCTGTTTTTGCTTTTTGCAGCAAATTCCACTTTTACTTCTGATTTGTGTGATTGCATATTTGTGTGTGTGTGTGTGTGTGTGTGTGTGTGTGTGTGTGTGTGTGTGTGTGTGTGTGTGTGTGTGTGTGTGTGTGTGTTTACTCTAGATTAAAATAAATTTAGTTTAATTCAAGTTCTGAAAACTCCTATTTCTGTCAAGCCACTTTAGTTTTAATTTCCAGCGAACGTCTCGCCAGAGAGTAAAATGTTTCCTTTCTGCAGATCAGGAATGCACATATTATTGGAAAACAGCTCAACACAAGCTGTTGTGACACAAACCCTGGTTTCTCATATTCTCTGTTATCAGAATAATTTGTCCATGTTTTTCTGTAACATGCAGGAGTTTAAGAAGAACATAATCGTAAAACCAAACCAGACTTCAAGAAGATTTAAGAAATAATAAAACACAAGTTAATCCAGTGTCTTATCTGGTCAACTTTCCACTCCTTCACCCAGAATTCACATCAGAATCTAAGAATAAAGTTATTTTTTTTGCATTTTAAAGTGTTTTGAATTTTAAGCCTAAACAGAAAAAGAGTTTCTATTTCAACTTCATGTTCGCTCAGGAACATGACGTGATGCAATTTAGCTTTTGGAAAAGTCACAAATCTACATAAAGTGTTGAATTCTGATTTCAATCAGGCATTTTATTTGCTAGAGAACTATCTGTACAAGTACAACACATTTTTGTAATAAATTTCTGCTTGTAATTTTTTGCTTCCCTGCGTTTCACGGCGTATGTTGAGCTAAAAGACAAACCTGGAGTCAGAGTCTTTGCTGCCATTAAACTGACTAACTGCTGCCATCTGACTTTACCACACAGCTATTCCTCCAAAAGTGCATTAAGAGACATATTTTCATATTTCTTCTCTTTCTAAAGTAATTTAAGTGAAATCAGGGAGGAAAATTGGTCCTTTCTCCTCATGATTTCACCATAAAAGCATTTCGTTTTGATTCTGGCTCCCAGAAAATGATGATTTCATCACCTCAAAATATTGAAACTGTTTTTCGAAACGACATTTTTGTGTTCCCGTATTTCAGGGCGATGCTTTTTGTTCAAAACCAAACACTCTGTGATGAAACGTTGCTGCTGACTGATGATGTTTTTCTTCCTCAGGGGGTTTTTGCCTCGGCGGGGAGGCGGAAGGTGGAGGATCCGACACGTCGTCCTGTTTGTTTTGCTGTGGATGTTTCTGCACTGGACCGGTAGGACCCGACTCGCCCTCTCACGTTCACTCCGGGTTTTCATCCTGTTTGTTTATAAAGTGCCAAAGTTGATCGTCTTTTCTTGGCTGCATTCGGGATGGAAAATGAAAGTGGCGTTGGTCTCATAGGTTACTGAACCGACCGGTCGATATTTCTAAACGGTTCTAGAGATTTTCTTTTGCTGAAAACTAAATTGATTTGGAGAAGAAAAAAAAGAGAAAAATCAATGTTTTAATGGATTTTACACTAACAAAATGTGATGTCTGTATAACAATAAGGTCAGCCTTCATTATAAATCAGAGGAAAGTTTAGACATCCAAACAAAAGCAAAGAGTTTAGTTTTCCTCTTGACATAAAATCACCCTGCATGTGTGCAGAGGAGAGTTGTTGCGTAAGATGAAGGGCGGGACGCTACGGAGAGAAAAACAAGCCACAACACACAGAAACCATCATCTTCCTCAGTAATTACCACCCTGTGGACTCAGAGCTACAAACCACCAAAACCACAGAAATTAATCAGAATTTATTCAGATGTTGTGAAATCAGCTGAGAGCAAATCCACCGGAATACAAACAGTTTCTCCATGCAGAACTGCAGAGAATATTTCAAATGGGCTTAATTAATATTTTAGGTCACCAACTAGAACTGGGCCAGTACTGATCCTACAGTTTTATTGTATTATATGTAAAATTGAAAATGAGGATTATTATTTCTATTTGCTGAGCAGCAGAATGATGCATAAGTTTGTTCTGCACAGTATTTTAAAGAAACTCCATGAACATGCTTGTGCGATGCCATGGAAAGGCTTAAGGAAGCGATGGCCGCCGCTGGTTTGGTTGGTTGTTGGTTCCGGTGCCTGGAGGTACCATCTGCTCAAACAGGTCCACATGGAGACGCCCTGCGAGCCAGATGGACGAGTCAGGAAGGAGACTCTCTGGTTTGGATATTAAATGTGTGAGAACCAGAACCAAAGCAGATGATCTTTAAACGAGGCTCCTGAAGAGAACAGAGTCCTGGACCGACATGGGCTGACAGGAAGAGGCTGTTTCTCCACCATCAGCACGAAAAAGCAACAATTCAGCCTGAAAATGCACTCAGGGTCCAAAGGCCTGTTATGCTAAATGTATTTAAAAGTTTTTAAACTTCAACTTGTGTTTGCACTGCTTCCAAAAACAGCCCAAGCACTTAAAAGAATCAACTCAGCCGGTTTTGGCAACAGTTCATGTTTTTAGTGCCTGGAAATCAGACAAAACCTCCCAGATGTTGAGTCACATTGGACATGCGCTGCGTTGTTACCTGGCAATCCGAGCTGATTGTCAACACGTTTGGTAAGATGGTTTCACCGCTGCAGGCTGTACAATGGCTGCTGGAAAGGACAAATGTTTTGTTGCAGAAACCGCTTACTGTGTTCTTGTTGGTTGTGCAGGAGGCTACTCTTCTGCTTGTCAAAGATGTATGGTTGTATAATTGCGAATCTGTTTGCAGCCATTTTCATGTGTGAGTGCAAATGTTGAGTTGTGGGGCGTGGCCACCAGGAGCTCACTGAGATTTAAAGTGACAGAGCCCTGAAATGAAGAGCCCTGAAATGAAATGAACATGTTCAGTGTAGCCCATTAATCCATCCTGACTTGTTCCAGGAAACGCAATAGGTCACCTTCAAGGTATCAGCAGCTTCTTGTTGTTGAGTTGCTTTGCTGCAGGAGGGACCGGTGCGCTTCACAACATGAAGAGAAGAAAACATCTGCTGGGAAGTTGAAGCTCAAAAGGGTTTTCAAAACGACCTGAAACCGACCGACAGCTACATGTGAAGAGGCTGAAGAACAACAACCTTCTTCTACCAGCTCTGTCAGTTTTACCAGTTGGAAAAGCCTGTGGAAGGAAAACCACAAGGTTTGACCCGAGTCATCCAGTTCAAAGACAACATAACTAAATCCTGAGGAGACGGATGGAAACATCTGAACTGAAAGTTTTCTGTCATTATTCTGAAATCCAGCAAATAGAAATAACTTGTTTAATCCTGGATCATAAAATCTCTGTTGTCATTTAATGCCGGGCAGAACGATTGTCTCACAGTGGATGTAAAAATCTGGGACACATTGTTCAGTTTCACAAAGATTATTCCAAATTTGAAACAAAGTGACTCGTTCTACCTGTGGTCAGTGTTGGACACCAAGCCGGCCCACATATATCAGCACCGTTTAATGCAAGAAATACCAGTTTAAAGGGTCTGCAAACAGCATTAAGCAGTTTTATTAACGTTCTTCCATATTTTGACAGAATTATGTTTCTAAAATACCAAATATTTTGATAGTACACTCAGTTCTAAACTTTATGGCTTAGTTTTATGGCTTTTAACTCTAAAAAGGATCCAAGCGTAGATGATGGTTATTATAAAACAAAATGTTACATTTATGGTTTGAAATTATAATTAGCATCACATTATTTCAGATTTCAGCAAACTGTTTCCTTCGTGATGGGTTTTAATCTGCTCCAGAAAGCAGTCGCCACCGCTGCACATTTTACCTTCTCATTGTTGTTTTATGAGTTTCTCTTCATCTCATTTATGTTTTTTCTGCTGTGGGAAAAATGCTGCATACTTGACTTGAGGATAAATGAAATATTTGGCAGCATGAAAATGATCCATTGAGAAAAGCGAACCACCCTGAGCGTTTCCTCAGAGATGCAGCCTTTATTCTGACAGCAGCGGTTTTAATTGATCTGTGTCCTGCCATGTTTCCTTCATCCCGCTTGTTTCTGCCACGCTTCATCCCACGCTGTTGTTTCCTCATATTTTCCGTCCCTCTGTGCTCCAGCATGCCGCGTTTTCCCTCACAGCTCCATTAACAAAACCCACTTCTCATGCATCAGAGACGCTCTCCTTCATGAAACCTGCGGATGGATCTCTTTTCCATCTGGCTGATACTTTGATCACAGCCTACAGCTTTTCATTCTGGAACCGTCTGCAGTTCTGCAGCCCATGCAGGTCTCCACCGCCGGAGCCGCGCTTTGATTCATTCATCGCACGTTCAGCCAGAAATGGATCTTTTTTCCTGGTTGGGGTTTAGATTTGCAGACAAAGTGAGATTTAGGAGAATAAACCAAATTTGAACTAGATTTGTTGAGATGTGTTTTGGGTTATGATTCCAGTTTCATTTATTCCAACTTTCTGTTGAAAGCAGAAAAACACGACGTACTTAAATCTCATTGTTTCTTTTGGTTTGAAACATTAATTCTGAAAATTACAATCAATATGAAGTGACCATCTTTCTTTGTTTGACATTATTATGTTGTACAGGGATGCAACTATTGATCATTTTAGGAATTGGTCAATCTATCAATGATCTTGATCAGATGAACAATGTGGCAAATTCTGTAGATTTTTATCTGATCTCCTAAACTGTTTTATACACAATTAGAAATACTTTAAGTATGTAAGTAAAATATTCAATTATTTTGTTAAATAAGAAAATATAAAGTGTTTTTTTGCATCTTGAATGTAAAATGTTTTTATTTTTGTACAGTTTTAGCCTAAAACTGCTTTGAGGATGCTGATGTTTCAGAATTTGGTCTTTTTATCAGTCTGTTTGCTCCACTTAGTGATTAATTGATTACTAAATTACTTGATCAATATGATTGTTTAAGTCATAGCGTTGTATTGTCAGTCTTAACCATATCTGTAGGCGTCATAAACATTAGCTCTGCCAGTACTAAGCCAGTATTTATCAGAAGTTTGGTAACTAGTCAGGCTATCTGCTCAGGTAGCCGCTCTGCAGTCAGAGCTTCTGTCACCAGTTTTATCCCAACAGAGTTGATGGTTGGAGCTGCTTTAGTTCCCAGAGCAGCTCTTTCTACGATTATAAACGTTTGTAGATTTGAAGCACAAACTGTTTATAAAAGTTCTTCACCCAGTTGGCAGCAACAGGTGGGGGATGCACCTTGTTGGTAAAACTCTCTGGTGACTAACACAATCATGTAGCTGCAGGAATGAAAACACTGGAGCTGCTGCTGCAGAGATTCGATGAGTGACTTTGTGATTCCTGCGTCACATTTTCCCAAACATGTTGGAGGCATCAGGATCTCCGGCGGATTGTTTGTGCCAGTTTCTCTCTTTAGAGGAGAAACTAAAAGCTCTCGCTCAAAACCGGGGAGCCGATGAGCCAGAGAGCAGAACCACGCTGCGCTTAATGCGTTTTGCAGAACCAGAGCTGCAGCAGCTGCTGCTGCTGCTGCTGCAGCCTCGGGCCAAACCGAGCTGCTTCACTCGCCTCGTAAAGTTCCCATCAGAACTGAACCGTGACGCGCTGCTGCTGCTGGGCCGGTCAGAACCTGGAGGAATTGGACCGGTTTCTCTTTAAGACGACGGAATCGCTTCTTAAATTAACATTTCATAAACAGTTTATGAGATTTGTTGCATTATTCCCAGACGCTGAAGAGCTGCAGTTTATCACAGATCAGCAAACAGAATCTTACCAAGTAGTTCTGATCAATTTTGTTGTTTTTGTCTTTATCTTTGTACTTGACATGAGACAAAACCAGTTTCTCTTTATTTATCAAAACAATATGAGTTCCACTGGCAGATTATTTCTGATGATCAGACGTTTCTCCCATGTTATGACGGAAACGTTTTTTAAAGCGTTTTTATGGCATAATTTGCATTTCTGTCACATTTCTGAGTGTCTGATTGAAGCTTCACTGCAGATTGATGGGAAATGTTGTTGTCCAGATCAGCAACATGATTCTTAGTTTGACCTGATCTTTGTTTTGTATATCAGGGATTATCATGTCTGCTGTTTTCTGCTGTTTTTAATCAGATTCAGGATCATTGAAGGTTCTGGTTGGAAGGTTCTGGTCTTCTTGGTCTTTCTTCACCTTTCACTCTGTAACTACAGACTAATTCATCTTTATCCTGGTCATTTGTTAGAAGCTCATGTCCTGCAGCAGGTTAAGACATTTTTACAGTTTTTTTTTTTCTGATGATGCACTGATTTCTGTTTAAGAAA